TTATGTTAAACTGCTTTTTGGTAAGCGAAAAATGTTTGTCATTTTAAATGACATAAAGCTATGTCATTTTAAAAGAGATAAAGACATAAGATAATATATTTTTATTTAAAATTTAAATTAAAAAAATCACTCACTTTCCCTCCATGATTTTCATTTCTTGTGTCTATCTCTTCTAAAATGACATAACTTACGTCATTTAAAATGACAAACATCAAACCCTTTTGGTAATTAACTAGGTTTTCTATTGGTAACTAATTTTTTTTTCCACCTTAACTCGTTTAACCGCTTTTTCATGTCACGTCACTTAATACAATACGCTAAAAATATGTTAGAATCCCTCTTACTATGTGTGTTATTTAGTACATACTTATAAGTTCAGGTAAATTATATTTGACCCTCATCTAATTTAAAGTTTGTTCATTTTGTTACGATTTGATTAGGGATTTATTTACTAATTTTACTCGAGACTTGATTTTATTTTTATTTTTGTAAGTTTTATCCCATACTCGAGAATTGTTTGAGCATAAGTATAAACATTTATTTGAGACTTGATGAATATTGCTTGGTGCATCTGAGTACAAAGTATATTACCTTATATTTTTGTAATGCGGTATAATTAAAATGTGTGTATACAAAAAAAAAAAAAAAAAATACAATAAAAATAATTATATAAATATAAAATGATGTGAACGTAGTTATATTTAAATGTCACTAGTTTTATTTAGATAGATGAGGTGATACTCAATCCTTAGTTATTTGGGTTTGGATATCCATATTTATCTTTAATTATTTTATACAATGATAAGTAATTAATGGTCAATAATAGTTATTAAAATTATAAAAAAAAAATATTATGGGGCAGGTTATATTTACAAACTTTTTTGTTTACAAACTCTTACAAATTACACTATCTTCTCCGGGGAGAACACTACAAACTATATTATCTTCTTCCGGGAGAACACTAGTTACACTATGTTCTCCCAGGAGAAGATAGTGTAATTTGTAAAAATTTGCAAAACAAAATTTATAAATCATTCCCCATATATTATTACTCAATTATAAGTTGTTATAATAAGTATAAAAAGTTCCACATCGGTTTATTGGGGAACAGTGATCAAAATACGATTGTTCATTGACTTTTTTACTTAAATGTCACGCGAACAGTGTTATTTTTCAATATGCCCAACGAACTTGATTTGCTGACATGGCACGTTTCTGGTGGACAACAAGTTCGCTACCAAAAGTAGCGAACTATGTTGCAATAAATGCTGACATGTACCAAGTTCACTGAAGGTCCAAACGAACTAGGTGTCACGTGGCATAATCAGAATTAATGTATCAATTACAATAAAACACAGAAAATGAAGGAAAATGACAATTTAATTAATGTGCCAATCAAAATTAATGTGCCAATTAGCAATCACAATTAATGTGTCAATCACAATTAGCGTACAAATAGGATTAACTTTTGATTGTACCAATCACAATTAATGTACCAATCACCAATTACTTCGGAGGGCCATAACTTTTGATTCGAATATCCAAATCAAATATTTTTTATTTTATTTCATATAACTTTTTGAGATCTACCCTATGACATCTCATTTGACATATTTTATCTCTCACAAATATTGTTTGAATTTGTAATAATGATATCAAAACAATTAATGCAACGATCAAAATTAATTGTGACTGATACATTAATTGTGATTGGTGATTGATACATTAATTGTGATCAAAATTAATTGTGAATGGTGATTGATATATTAATTGTGATTGCTACATTAATTGTGATTAATATATTAATCACAATTAATTGTCATTTTCCTTCTTTTTCTGTTTTTTTATTGTGATTGGAACATTAATTTTGTGCCACCTAGCACACCAAGTTCGCTATCCCTGGTAGCGAACTTCGTCCAGTCAGCTTTTCCTGCAAAAGTGTGCCACATGTCACGAAATTATTGGCTACCAAGTTCGCTACCAGTTATAGCGAACTTGGACACGTGACAGTCAACTTTTCCTGTCAAAATGTGCCATGTATAACAAAATCATTAGCTATCAAATTTGCTGGACACTGCAGCCAACTTGCTCGCATGGCATATTGAGAAATTGCACTATTACCGTAACATTTAGAAAAATAAATTGTTGAATAATGACACTTTGATGACTGTTACGTTTATTGGAGCCTAAATAATCATTGATGGGCTTTCGTCACGAAGGTGCCTCCGTGACATTTTAGGCTTTTCAGCCTTAGGTAACTTTAATTTTGACCTGATGCCAATAATTGAAGAAATAGTTTCTTGTAGCCTTTAGAATTTCAGCTGTACGACCTTATGCTAATAATTTTTTAACATAATGTAACCTAACTCAAAATAATGGACATTACTTTAATATTTATATTTTTCTTCTTATTTAAAATGATTTCTCCATTATTATTTATTAATAATTATTGATCATATTTAATAAAGTTATCAATATATAATAGTAACCTTATAAAATAATGAAATTTATTTCTTTCATATAATAAAAGAAAAATTATCTTATATTGTAAGATAAATAAATTAGAGACTACCAATTTAAAAAAAGAAAAACATATTTTTTATATAGATAAATATCTGAGAGTATAATTTTCCAAAAATAATTAATCCACCGATTTCAAAAGTTAGCTTTGGCCTTTGGCTCTAAAGCCTATGATATAATATGATATGACCCATCGTACAATCATCCCGCAATCTGCGGTTCCACGTCCTCTTTCGTACCGACTGTCGGCAAAGGCACCATCACCTTGAGACTCGTGCATCCTCCTAATTTCGGAGCATATTTTAGGTGTAATAAAAGTAGGTATTTTCTTATAAAAAACACACAAAAAGAAAGAAATTAATCATTAAAATAAGAATATATAAATGTATTATTTTTTTATATTTAATAAAAAAAGTACCGAACACGTCGGTAATATTAAAAATATTTTACTAAATATCCATTTGAACGAGCTTTTATTTCTAAAAATGTTATTTTTTTTTCAAATTCTTTTTTTTTGAGAATTTTTAAATGGTTAGATAATAACTTTTTAAAAAAGTAAAGTTTAAAATAAAACTTTAAATGATATTTTTTTTAATCAGTAGTTAATTGCTCTTGAAAAAAACAGAAATTAAAACATAATATAAATTATTTTTTTTGAAAAAAAATAATATAAATTTTTGAAATACAATTTAAACCTCATTCTATCATACCTATTTTAACCCTCTTTATCCCACGATCATGCTATTTTATCTCTCATTCATTGTAATTTTATATATAAAAAGTTTTTAACATCCAAACAATTCTTTTTATATAAAAAGTAAATTTTATATCATACATCCAAACGAAAAATAACATTATCTTTTAAAAAATTATTTAAAAAAAAAGAATGCATAAAAAATTATTTTTTAAAAAACTCATATCCAAACAGGCCCTAATTCAAGCGCTGCTACGTGAAAGTTTAACTTCAACATTTCACTTATTCAGTCTTAAATACTTTTTCTTCATTTGCTAAAATTAAAAAATAATTATTATTAATATTTATTTAATTATTATTTTATGATTAATGCCTCGTAAATTTTTCTTATTTTTATATCTAGAAAAAGATTATATGCTATTGGAATATTAAAGATTTACTTGTAATCTAATTAACTATATTTATTTTTTATGATTAATACCACAGAAATTTTATTTATTTTTAATTTTATTAAGGAAGCATGTTTACAAAATCTTTAGTTGAAGAAATTCTTATATCCTCCTTTTATTTCTTTATTTTATCTTTGACGGACGCCAATTTTGCCATTTTTATGAGAGAAAAAAGACCCCGAATCCTTCTAGCATCAGCTTTTCAATATTATAATTTTAGATCGGTTACGCTGTTTTTTATAATAAGTTTGAATGTAAATGAATAAAATAAAAAATAAGCTTTCTTAATATCTGTAAGTCAACCCTACGTTTATAATTTTGTTCGAGCTTTTTCCGAAACTTATAATACTTGCATTTCTCATATTTAAATTGTATCAAAGTTTATTTGATAATCTAAATATTGTTATTAATTAGATAAGGTACCAAACTATTAGAAGATTTTCTTCTCCGTATTGTTGAAATTAAAAATAGTTGGAAGAGAGAGAGAGAGGAGAAAATACTAGAAATTAAAAATAGTACTCTCAAGTCTCAATGGTTGCGCTGGAACATGGATGGTGCATGAAATTTGTGCAATTGGGCATCTGCATAAGTTAAAGGTATGTAATCGTACTTGTTTTTAATAATCTATCTGAAGATGCAGTCCTTAGTACTTAATTTACACAAATTTTCTGCTATAAAAGAGCAGATTTTATGTCTTCCGCAAACGCTTTACTAAAGCAAATAAAAAGCAGAGAAAAAGCCCTAAGTTGTACGACGTTCTCACAACTTCTACTTTTTGCCGTATTAAAAAGCCAAGAGGAGAAGCCAACCAAAATTGTCTAGCTGAACAATCGTACATGAACAGATGGATGTGAGGGTTTCTTTATATGATAGAGCCACTTAACTTTCCAACAAATATAAATGAATTATTATTATTATTTTAATTTCCACTCAAAAAGACACAATCTTCAACCCTTAGCAATATATAATATAGCTCTGCCAAGTTGTTTCCACTGAATTTTGGGACAAGAAAAGAGTGAGTTGAAAAGCAGTAGAATGAATCCTCATTCAACCACGCCTCTGTTAACTTGAGCTTCTTTTTTATTGAGGGGCCATGCTGCCCGCTTTTCAAACCCCAAAAAACGAGGGCTTGTTTTTATAGTTTTTAGTTTTTTACAGCCACGTAAAAAACCAAGTACGTACCAAGAATGAATAACAACGAAATCAGCTGTATGTTGTAACAATATTGTAAGGATTATCTATGTACCAAAAAAAAAAATATATATATTGTTAAGGATTATCCAATATTGCGTTATTCTATTCATGAGATCACAATTTTATTAATCCTATGTATTGGTTGTCAAACAACTATCAACACAAAAAATTGTCCTATGACTCAACTATTTATGATGTCCCTCAATATGCATGAGTCACAACCTTAATATCTCTGACAGATCAGAACATATTACATGCTTGGGCAGTAGAGCAAATACATGAAAGGGTGGGGAAAGAGAGACTACTGTCAAACGAAGAGTGATAGTAATATATCTACACAACAATGCAGTTTGCCAGAAAAGAATTTGACAACTATTTTGCCAATGAATCGCTACTCAGATCTTCAGATAATTTTTTCCGCTTTTTTTACAGCCTCTACAAACATAAGAAGCTTTTACTTTTGCATACAACCCGAATGATCTAACTCACCAGAATGGCCAGTGTAGATAGGACTCGATGTTTTCTGTAACTCCAAAAACTTCGTCTGCCAAGAGATTATCTCTCTAATTTCTTCTCCAGCTGCTGGTTCAATTAGTGATGTCATGTCAACTCTTCTTTTGAAGCTTTATACAACATAAGACATACAGGGCTGATCACATGGTCCTCAGAAATCCACGAACTTCAATTAGGAAGCTATTCAGATTTTTCCTAAATCTCTGGTAGTTAATTCGATCAAGGGAGGTAGAAAGCTGATTAGCACTTGTTAGTGTGTGCAATGCATTTGCCAGCCTTGATCTAAGTTCTGGATTTGCTTGTCGCTCCATCAATTCACTGCCCAATCTCTGTAAAGAAATTTACCCAAGACCTTTCAGGAAGACAGGAACCATTCATTAAATGTGGGTGGGGCGGGGGGGGGGAATCATAGTAGGAATACTTGGATATGTTGTGCGATGGTGTGTAGTGACTGGTGATTATTTAAAAACTTAGTTCGATAATCCCTCAAATAATAGGAATACATACTGATTTTGGAAAGATATAACTCAAAAAGACAATAAATATACTAACTTGAAAATACTGTTCTTCACCAAAAACAAGCATTTAAGGAATCTCCCCTGGTTTGAAAGGGGTTTAAATGGAAATAGAACAAAAATCTAGAAAAGATAATTCTGATATGAAAGTAACTTGCGTTCATTTATAAATTCATGTTTTATACTAATTCAAGCATTTCAGTTAAAATTATTTCAGTAAGCTTGCTTGCCACTGAGAAAACTTGCATCGAATTTTCTACAAAATGCAAGTTAGAGAGGCATACCTGATACAGGCCTTGCTCACAAAGGATTAATGGAAGGAGAGCATCTGCTGCAACACTGATTAGATCAGAACTGAAATAACAAGCCATTACTATTAGTCAATAACAATGTGGTTTTGCAATAGAGTTAATAAGACATGATATATTGCCTTTTATTAGCATAAAACTAGGAAACAGGGTACTTGTGAGGAAACGTGTTTGCAAGCCTAAATCATCCAACATATATTACAAATACGAATGGAATACCGAAAAAGGTATGATGATGTGCTCTAAGATGTGACACTTTGATATGCACATTCATTTGATTTCCTGAGAGTGACGAAATTAATCTCCCACCCAAAAAAAAGTACAATAAATGACCTGTAACTAGGTGATGAATACTGTAGATATATTCAAGTCACGGTAACTAAATAATTGCCCTATTGTTCATTCCGTGCTTGCGTAGATAAACAGTGACAACCCTACTTTCAGGCTCCTACCATGGCAGGGTTGGGTAAAATATGGGGGGGGGGGGGGGGGGGGGAATATTCATTTGTATTCTCACCTATAATCCTCAAAAAGGAGTAACTGCAGCAATGAACGAAGGAAACGGCTCAAAAGGCCTTCCTGAAAATTCCCACTTGAATCCTTAAGACCCATGGCATGTGCACCCAAGCCTATATTACCAGTACCAATCTCCTTGTAGTGGTATGAAGCAAGAGCTTGCAGAGCTCTCAGACATTTACTAACCACATCTGCATCCTGCAAAATCAATAAAGTATACAGTTCTTAGCCACAAATTCTAAGTACGATTACAAGTTACAAAATTGGAAAGTGTAGTACAGAGTCTAGAAATTTTCTCCTTTTTTCTTCTTTCAGAAGAAGAAATTTAATACTAAACATGTAAAAATTTCTCTTAAGCTTAGAAGTTTGTCTATGTCTACTCTTTCTAGTTTCTTAATGTTTCATCAAATGTTATTAAGGAAGAAAAGCCACATGCACAAATATATTACCTGATGGTGGAGACCAAAATCAAGGGTTCCAAGTATATGAGCAAATGCTTCACTATTTAGTTGGGCAAATGTTTCAGGATAAACCTCCAACATATGTGACAGGAGAGAAAAATACTGCAAATAAATCATACACTATCAGCTTTTAGACTATAATCAGTCCAGTACTATTTCTATATAGAAGATGGATGTCTTACATCATGACAAAGTTTGGGATATTTCAGGAGGTCCATAGAAATCAGTGGTGTGATTATGTGAAGACCAAAGTAAACCACCTGGAAGACCCATCGTGAGAGAGTGATTATCTAACTTTACATGAAACAGGTAAATGGAATAATGAACTACCTGAGATATGTTAGTGCCTTGGGCCTCAATTGAATCTGACGAGAAATCAATCTGCCACAGTAAGTATTTTTCAGTTAAATTGGTCCAATTTTAAGTAGGAGTATGTGATACAGGTAGATCTCTTTCCAATTGCTAGTCTTAATAATTTACGAAAAGAAAATCTTTACCATGTCTTTAGAGCAAAGACTTGAGAGAAGTTGAAGAAGAGCACGCAAATCCTTATACTTCTCTGTTTTTTCCTCACTAAGTAAGCTGCTTGAAAGACTTAGAGATATCTGAAAAAGGAGCAAACAGGGACTTGAGGGAGAAAATTTTAAAATAATGAAAAAGAAAAAGTGAATTAGTAATGACAATGGGATTTCATTACTCATAGCAACAACATATTGACATTACATAATATAATCAAAACAGTTATATTGTTGGATTATTGGGATCAAAGAGAAAGGAAGAGCAAAAGGGACAAAAAGCAAACAAATATGGTTCTTCGTATACCTCGTGCCTCATACTAACTGATAAAGGTATACTCATTGACTCCTAATACTGCAGTTAATACTATTCTAAAGACTGTCCTTTCCTACTATATAATCACAAGATTCGTATATGGGTCTGAACCAGATTAAAGCTTCAATAGTATAATTTAATTTTTTCAAAAGAGAAAAAAAACTCTAAATTTAGGAGGGAGTTTGAGGATACAACTTAAAATTCTTGTTTCCCACATACCAAAGAAATCCCTGAGGAAAAAAGATATAAAAACCTTTTAAAAGAGACAGAGAGATTGAAAAACCGTTCATACTTTCAATTTTATGATAACATAATTGATAACGTATTGTGAGATGAAAGAAACAACATAATTGAAAAAAGAAATTTACCTTGCCTATATTGTGAGATGAATACAGCTGAAGCAAACGCATGCAGAAATTAATAACAGCAGCAGTTTCTTGGGCCTCCAAGTAAGTAATTTGTCCATCAACCCAATCAACTACAAATTTAAGTAGCAGGTAGACAACTGCAGACTAAGCCATATTTACACAAGTACCGAACAACATGTCAGAAATTTGGAAGTTTACGCACATGCATCGAACTGAAAAAAAATAATATAAGGAATAAAATTAGCTTCACAAATGGACATTATTATAAGGATGATATGAAAATGTTCACCAAAAGCATAACACAGTGACAAAAAACACACTTGTGTCAAGGGCATCGAGGATATTAAAATAAGTCGAGATACCAATAAATATGAATACTACCTCATGTTTATATACTTCAAGAAGCACTAGTATGGGATTCATTACAGAGAATCCTAGCTCATAGATAGCCTTCTGAGTTCGAGGTTCAGAAGCACTTGCAGCTCCCCGTAGCCGTTCTAACATGCAGCTGACCTACAGGATATCAATGATGATTGATGATAATGAAGAACTATTCTCATACAAACACGAGTGAAATAAATGTTCATGCCCTCACCTGCCAGAGGATATCTGGTTGTTGGGCAATACTTTTAAAATTACTCTTGCTGGACATCTCCACTATATATGTTGCAATATGACCCATGAGATTCCTTACATACCTTTAAATAAAAACAGACAAAATTACACGGTATCATAAAAGATTTGAAACTATAGAGAAAAGATAGTTGAAGTAAATACTCACTGGCTTGACTCCTCTGAATTTCTCATGCCTGAAGCTGAACGAACAAGTGTTTGCGCAAGAGATCGCTGAAGCAAGAAACCAATGGCATTTACAAAACCACCCATGGCAACAAAGTAGCTGGTGGCTGGAAGTTGATAAAGTTCTTACCTGATGAGCAGTGTCCAACGACAACAAAGTCTTTTCAATGGAAAATACAGTTGCTAGTTCATGCCATGAATTCTGGACAAGATCAGAAGTTCAGGACAAGCATGCTCAGATAACATTTACTGCTGTTAAAGTCTGACTATTGTAAAAGATAAAAATTACTGACTATAGTAAAAGAGGAAGGTTGTTGAGACTTCAGAGTTTCGGAATATAACCATTATTTTCAAGATAAATGAGAATTCAGTCCCTTGTATGTCAACACTTTAAATAAAGTCATTTAAAAATATCTATATATCTATAAGAAAGCATCTAAATTCTAAAGGGTTAACAGGTTATTTGGAGAATTACCCTATTCCAAATAGAATGAACCTGATTTGTGTTACCAAAAAAAAATCATTACTTCAGAATACTTCCCAGTTTTCAGGAAAAAATGAAGTTTTGAATACATCAAACCTATAACAACTAAATATTAGATCTCCTCCCTTGGAACAAACAACACCCCAAATCAATAAAAAGAAAAATTGGGAGGGACTAACTTGAAAGGAGAAAAACTGAAATATTATTGTTATTCTAATCTGATCATGTACAAATATAGAAAGACTAATGGGCCTAAAGGAATTAACCCAAATCCGAAAATTAAGGAATCAAATAATTACAGATACTTTCCATATTTACAACTCTACCCCTTAGGCCGAGGAATGAATATTTATCATTCTTAGCTTGCTAGTAAGTTCTAGAAATCTATCATCAGGAAGTCCCTTGGTCAAGCCATCAGCTAGTTGATGACCAGAAACATGTATGGAGTAGCGATGAGTCCGCTATCTAGTTTCTCCTTGATGAAGTGGTGGGCCATGGCTCGAAACTTTGCCTCTACACTTGACCTAGCAACCTCATTTTGCTTTTTACTCTTTAATGTTACTAGGTTTCTGGAAAGAAACATACAATAGCTTGAGGTAGACAGTCGATCAGATATAGACCCAGTAAAATTGGCATCTATATAAACCACTAATGATAGGTTTCCCGTTCTCCATAATAACAGTCATCTAGCTCGTGTGACTTTCAGATACTGAGAATCATGTCCATAGCTTGGAGGTGTTTTTCCCTTGGATTGTGCATGAACTGGCTAACAATGCTAATTGCATAAGCTAGATCAGGTCTAGTATGAGCAAAATATATCAATCTTCCCACCAGTCATTGATATTGTCCTTTGTTAACTAGAAGGCTCTCCTCTTCACTTCCCAGTTTGTCATTCTAATCAATTAGAGTACCAGAAGGTTTACACCCAAGTTTTCCCGCTTCTTTAAGGAGATCAAGATCATAGTTTCACTAACAAATAAAGAACCCTGCTTTGAATGGGCAACTTCTATCTCAAGAAAATATCTCAGTTTTCTAAGATTTTAACTTCAAATTTAGGAGTTAGTCTCTCTCTTGAAGCACGTTTCTCAACTATATCATCCCTTGTTATAATAATGTCAACAACATAAACTTCAAGAATAGTGAGTTTACTTCTTTGGGAATGTCTAAAGAAAAATGTATGATCTCCTTGACTCTGCTTGTATCTCAATGACAACATAAGTTTGGTAAATTTTCAAAACCAAGCACGTGCAGATTGTTTCAACCCACACAAGGCCTTCTTCAACCTACAAACTTTATTTTCTCCATTTGTGGAGTCAAATCCCGATGGGATTCCATGTAAACCGCCCTTTCTAACTCGCCATTGAGAAAGACATTCTTCACAACAAATTGATTCAAGTCCCAATCAAAGTGAGCCACAAGGGACAATAAGACTATTACTATGTTCATTTAGGCTACCGGAGCAAACGTTTCCTCATAATCAATGTCATAAGTCTATGTGTAACCCTTAGCTACTAATTGAGCTTTATACCTTTCAAAAGTACCATCAAAACTATACTTGCAACTATAAACCCATCTACAATCCATTACTTTCTTTCCGCTTGGCCTATCAACAACATTCCATGTTTTATTTCTTTTCAAGGCATTCATCTCGTCATGCAAGCCTTGAACCCAATTCTCACCTTTTACTGCCTCATGTATGTCAGGATTGAAATGGAACCAAGTGCTGAAATAAATTTTTTATGTTGCACAGAAAGGTTCTCAGGGGAGATAAAATGAGAGACATGATGTTGGATACAAAACATTTTCCCTTTCCTGAAAGCAATGGGTAAGTCATCAGAATTTGTAATATTATGCTCAAGAACAGAAGTAATTGTGTATTAAATACTTAACAATGATTCAAATGATTGCAGTTGCTAGTGGTGTAGTGTTGTTTATTTCTTCCTTCGATATAATAATTTGCGTGTCCTAGCCTTCTGTAGATTGTTAAGAGGGGCATGTCAGATGAACTATTGGCCTCAACCTCATCAACCAAGTCTTTTTGCTCATTATCCTGTTGAGTAGTAGCTGGGGCAAATTCAATATAGTTTGACTCAGGAGGCTTAGATAAATGAAAATGGAACTCAGTCCTGAAGAAAATGGAAGAAGCTTCTAGACTGCTCTCCCCCTAAAGTTGAGGACGGGTGACAAAGGATTAGTCTTCATGAAAAATGACATCCATAGAGATAAAGAACTTATGACTTGAAGGATGATAACATATGTAACTTTTTTTGTCGAGAGCATAACAAAGGAAGACACACTTAAGAGCTCAAGGTTCTAATTTACGTTGGTGCTATTTATGAATATTGACAAAAACAATGCATCCAAAGACCGAGATTGAAGGCTTTGCATAAAAGGATGACATGGAATGAATATGATTTACATGGCCAAAGACCCGGGAGGGTAAGCGATTGATTAAATAGGCTGCAGTTAACATGGCTTCTCCGTGGGAGCAAATGCTTGAAAAATAATTTTTCTTTTAGCCACGACGTTTTGTTGAGGGATGTCCACACATATAAGCTTATGAATCATACCCTTGTCTGAAATGAATTGTGATAGGCGTTGGTTGACATATTATGTATTATTATCAGATCTTAATCAAGCAATACTTTTACCAAAAAGTGCCTCGATCATTTTGATAAAATCGGATAAACAATTATGGCACTTCAAACTTGTCCTTCATCAAGAATATCCATGTCACTCGAGTATAATCATCAATAAAGGAAATAAATCACTTCGCACCTGAAATGAGATAGTACAATCATCAGTAATTGATTCTTGGTATCACTTATAGCATACTCTGGAATAAGAAAGTACAACAATCCTGCTCCTTAGTAACTCCAATCGTCATCCCCGAGGTGAGATCCTAAATAACAGAATGAGTAAGTAAAAATATGATAAAATAATTCAAGTCAGTTGTAAGCATATTAGTGGAGATAAGATTGGTGGAGAGCTAAGGACATGGAAAATATTTTTCAGAAACAAGGAGAGTTGAATTTGAATGTTACCAAAACCCACAACTGATTTGTGGGTCCATCAGCTACAGCTATAGTATGGACATCAATAGTAGGGTGATATGAAAGAAACGATTCATCTAGACAAGTCATATGATCGGTGCACCAGAATCCATGATTCATGAATTTTTGAAATCAGTGCAAGAAGAGATACAGGGTATGTGATCTTACGAAATATAGCCAAATAACAAGTGTTCGAGGCTTACTAAAAATATCAACAATGGCCTTAAGTTGCTCGAACCCTCCTCGTTGAATAGTCACAATATGGGGATGCTTTACCAAACTTCTCTAGAACTTATTGCTTCACATAAAGGCAAAAACGCATGTCTTTTGTGTGTTCAAACCCCTTACAGTTGGTGCACCAACATCCCATGGATGAAAAAGGAAAAGGTAGGATAAAAAGAGAATGGTAATTACCACGGAAGTCTCTGGATGCCCCAAATAGCGATGAAAAATGCCAAATTTTAGCAGAAGAGGCCAGGCCAGGGTGAATCAAAAAGATTTAATTTTTATGGCAAGATCAAAGACCTATGACCCAAACAATGTCTGATCAAGAAGATAAATACAAATCTAGAACAAGGAGGACAAGGCGATACAAGACGATGCTGGTTGGAGACAGACGAAAGCCGCACGTGCCGTCTCATTCCAGTTGAAGGGTGGCGCGTGAGATTCGTGCGCAGAGGGTCTTGATTGAACATGAGAGTGTGTGACATTTTCGACGGTGATGGGCTTCTAGGGAGACACTGACTTGGACAGTGCACTGTTGTCTGCATGGTTGTCAGAGTTGTAAATGGCCAAAAAACTTGCCAACTGGAGAGAGAAGGTGCCGCTAAGGTGTTTGGACACGTTTAGAGGTGCATGGATTGTCGTTTGGATTTGAAACGATCGTAGAATAACAGATGAGGAGATGGTGGCTGATGACAGGAGATCGTCAGGAAAGGAACCGTAGTGAGGGAACGACAATTGTGCAAGAGAATGGCGATGGCTTGGACGCGCTAAAGGCGTAAAAGAGAGTCCACACTCAAGGCGGCGATAACAGAAGCAAGAGGCTCCTAGAGCGAGAGCTCTGATGCCAACTTGAAAATAGAAAAACTGAAATATTATTGCTATTCTACTATGATCATGTACATAAGGTACAATATAGAGAGAGACTAACGTACTTAAAGAAATTAACCTAAATCCTAAAATAAGGAAACAAATAATTATAAATACTTTCCATATTTACATCAATCTATAAGCACCAAGTAAACAACTAGAAAAACCTTTGTGCTATCTTGGTCCGTAAGTTGCCATGTTACTGATGACAATTTCGAAACTATCTTGCATTATTGGATTCATGTATTTGGAAAAACCTCAAAAAGGTTAGCATAATCAAGGACATTGACCGCCTTATCACGGGTCTTGAATTTGGAAATCCATATCACACAATGGAGAATCAATGCGGTCTTCAAGTGTTCTGAGCTTCGGAGCTTGGAACATACCATTGTCATAAGCAACTACTTACCAAACTTGAATCACCCATTAATGAAAAAGAATAACATTTTAAAACATACAGATCCTTAAGTTTGCATCAAGATAAAATTGCACACTTGGATGTGTTTTTCCAATCTAAAGGTACATGTAAACGTATTGACTCACCAGAGTAACTAGGTGAACACATATATGCTTTTGCTGAACCAGTGAATGAAGTGACTGGTAACAAGTGACACGCTGGAAAAAAAAAACATTAGGAACAACCACATAGCAAGGTGGTTTGCTATTTATTCCAGTACTTTTAACACACACAAACTTGAAGAGCTTATAAATTGAAATATTAAATTTCAGAAGAAATAAATGGAAAAGCAGAGATACATATTAAATCAATCAAACATAATTGTCTAGAGTGCCAATACAGTTCAACTTGTTAGTCATAGCAAAGTCAGCAATGGACAGTTGATAACAGAACTGCAAGCAATGTATTTCCTTTTGGTAGATAACATAAAACATATGTTTTGGGGGTTATTCCTTTCCTACATTCTGTTACTGAATCTTAGAAGATGAATGCATTTACCCACAAAGTTTTATATGTCCCAATAATCTTTTAGGCTCCATTTAAAAATAACTGCAATTCAGAATTACATATTCAATTCTAATTTTGTCGCAGATTTTTTTTTTCAGAAATGTAGTTAGTTCATAATCTTAAATTTTATGTATGTATGTATTGCATAAAGAATTAGGAAATAAAATTGAAATTATGGTTCAATTCTAGTTTTGTTGTTTGGATTAATGAATTAGATTTATTTTAATCAAAATCTATAACATTGTCACCATATTTTAAAACTACCTGTATACATAAACCAAAGTATTTTGTTCGGTGACAATGGTGGCAGTGCCAGTGGAGGCAGAGACAAACAATTGCAAGAGCATCGCACTTAGGTAGCTGGAGTGGTTACATATAGGTTTTATGATTCACGACCATGGAGTGTGTAATCTTAATAGCATATTAATTCTTCCTTCATTGAACTGGGATTTGGTCGGCTTAGGTGAAAAATTGAAAAGGGAAATTTTTATTTCAATTCATTGGAAATGTTATAAAGGATTAGATTTATAATTTAAAGGCATATCAAACGTGTTTCTGAAAGGTTGATTTCTAAGTCCGATTCCAAGTGCCAAATGAGGCCTTGGACCCTTGGTTCTATTTCCCATATATTTAAACAAAAAAGTTGAAAATCATTCAATGCAAAAGAAAGAAATGTGGAAATTACACATACCCCACCCATCCTAAGCTTTCACCCCAATTGTATTTTGTCCCATAATAAAAATTTAGAGAATTCTTAAGACGGAACTCGCAACAAAACATTTCCAAATTAGGAACAATTAACTGAACACGTGGTTAGTTTCATCAGTTCACGAATAACCTTTTCTCATTTTCATTAAATTTTTTTTATGGTGAACATATTAACCAATTGTCTGGTCAATTGTTCCAAACCTAGAAATATCATCGTCGGTAGTCGGTAATCATGTTATAGAATTTTTCCTTAAAAATTTTTAGCATATTTTACCCCATTCTAATCTGTTTCAACTAACAGCACCCCAATCCTTCAAATTTTCATGAACTGCAGTGGTAATACATACCACATGACCTATAATGACATTTTGGATGGAAAAACATGCTTGAATTTTGCTTTTTTGACCATGGAATGATAATCTTCTACAGATGTTAGAATTTGATAGTCTACAAATAGATTTTATGTCTATGGTGTAAAGTCAGATTTATCAAGTCACTACTCTTATATATTTAAATAATATATTACACGAAAATTTCAAATAAATATGCATGTAAAGACTGTAGTTCTGTACATGTGCATTTGTTTGTATACTTCACATTAGTAATACAGATGAAAACTAGGCAGACAACCATGTGCAAATACTTGATTTCCAAAATTGTTTATAAATGATAGGAGTTTTAAACTCAAACCTGCAGATCCTTTTCCCCCGGATATGATGTAAGTGTGATCAAGGATATATGAACAATAATATCAAGGACGGGCTTCCCTTGGTTATGCTCTCCAAAGAAACTAAGCAAAGCCTTTTTTGAACTATGCTCATGATGATAACCTGAATCTAAGATTTTCTCCCCGATCCCATCTGAAGACATTAGATATGTCCGAGACCATCTTGCAAGGAACCATATAATTGACTGCACAGAACATGAATTTGAAAGGGAATGGAAAATAAAACAGTACTTTGTCAGAAAAGAATCACAGAAGTTGCAAAAATATAGTACATAATCAATCAAAATAATTGATTTCAAATGCACTAATATCGTAATGAATCTCCAAATAAGACCACAATTTAAAACACTTGACCAGTAAAAAAGGCTAATATTGTCGTACACAACCAAATAAGGCCAAGAGCAATTTCAACTCAGTTTAGAAAAATTTGCAAGTTGGTTAACTAAAAGTAAATAGCTACTATAGTAAAAATAGAGTAGAAGATCAATAGTATAATAATGTTCTGTAAATGCAATAACTTTTAGACTATCCATCTCCAAAGGTCAGAGTCTACTACTGAAATAAAGCCAGAAGGCAACAAAAGCAACATATCAAGATTTGATGTCTATAAGAAAGACATTTAAAACGAATATCTAGGAGGTAGAAGAGACATATTAACATTATGCAAGATGCAATACCTCCATAAGCCGGGGACTAAAAACTGATGCTCTCATTTCTGGATTTAGGCACTGCTCAGCAAATTTTATGATTGAGCTGCATTAATTGATAAAAAAACATGATTTTATGGTTTCACAATTTGATCAGACATTATGTCCAACGTAAACCTTGACATGAGGAATTGCCTCCGAATGTTATCTCGATTTCAAAATTTAACTATTCAACCTTGCATTATCATGCCCACGAAATTTCATATTAATCTGAAACTCATTTGTACACCATTGACATAGACTAATGTTAATGTACAATATACCCTTCTTTTGTTAGAGCAAAATATACTTTTCAAACAAAAGAAAATATCAATTATTCCCCAAAAAAAATAAAAAAATATCATTTGTTTAATTACATATTATTATTACTCCAAATTTCCTAAAATACGGTATGCAAGTTAAACATGACACTTGCAATTCAACAGTCGAATTTGTGATAATCATTTTCGATAAAATTATATTAGACAGGTAAGTGTTCCGAGTCTTGCACCAACGTCAATTGATCCCCATCCATACCTACACAAGGCTATTGTATATATATATATATATATATATATATATATATATGTTATAGAAATGAACAGCCCTCATGATAATATTATAGATGTTACATTCCCCTACTCTGATTCAATGCGGCATGAAATAGCATATGGAAAATTGCTGTTCTTGTAATGCCATCGCTATCCCTTTAATGAATCGAAGTTCTCTGTTCAAGAAATCACTGTCTTTTCTAAACCTCCTTGCTTATATATATATATATATATATATAAAAGCAAGGAGGCTTAGAATTCTTGTATAGAGCTAGGCATAGATTTCATGAACAGAGAACTTTGATTCATTAAAGGGATAGCGATGGCATTACAAGAACAGCAATTTTCCATATGCTATTTCATGCGGCATTGAATCAGAGTAGGGGAATGTAATATCTATAATATTATCATGAGGGCTGTTCATTTTTATATGGTTTTGCAAGGCAATAAAAAAGAAAAAAGATCAAAGGGAAGAAGAGAAATACAAGATAAATCAAGAATCCAGAGGAGTATTATCAACAAAATTTTTAACAGAGCCAAAGCAAAAACAAGTGCAAACATCTGAACAAGGTTCACCTAACATAATATACCAAGAGTCTTAGCAAGAACACAATGCAAATACCAAATTCCAAATCAGAAAAGAGAAAGAAAGTAATTTACCTGGAAAGTAAAATAACAGGATGTTTATCTGCTTCCACAGCATTAACAACGAATTGGGTTTGTATGGCATTAGGAACCTAAATATCACACGACATAACCTTCACTTACTATTTGCATCACACACTACTGCAGCAGCTTTCCCAGGATAATAAGGGTTAAAGGTGGAAATGTAAAAGAAATTCAAAGAATTTTTATTTATTTTTTTCTATTTAGCATACTGACAAAGTGTTTATGAGCATAATACTATAAAAAACCAATTCAACCCAAATGCTTAAGCTGGTGGGTGAGGCCATATTAATGGTTTTATAAATCTCTAACACGCACCTTCATACAAGAGCCCATTGGGCTTAAAGGGTGGACAATGCACAGGTCCACCTACATGTGCTAAGAAACTCCACAAGACTTAATTAAATGGGGGGCGGTGAAGATCGAACTCGTGACCACTTGGTCACTGAGGCTCTAATACCATATAAAGAACCAATTCAACCTAAAAGCTTAAGCTGGTGGGTGGTGCTACATTAATGGTTTTATAAATCTCTAACAGATACAAAATAGATTAGGATTATTTGTATTACTTTCGATCAATGGATTTGATGATAATTATGTAATTAGGATATTTATATCTTTCTTTACTTTTAGGGATTTTATTTTTTAGGCTAAATTTTCGTAAAACCACCTTATAATTAGGTGCTTTTTCAAAAAGACACCTTGCACTTTCAAACGCAATAATTAACCCCCTTGTGCTTTGAAATTATAATAATTAAACTTTTTTGACAATTTAAACTCAAAATTGCCCCTTTTCTCAATCCATTGTAAGCCATTATCCTCCTCAGCCATAGCTAGCCACAACCCGATGGTTTTGCCACCACTGACCCCCGTCATCCATTGGCCACCACTGACCCCCGTCATCCATTGGCCACTGTAGTTCCTCCCTTGATTTCCTCCCAAATAAAAGACCAATTCAATGGTGATAACAACCAACTCTGGATTATTTTGCTCAACCCAATACAATACAAGAGAAATAAAAGCAAGAATTGTAAGTGCAACATGATAAATATTTGTCTCCCGACTTGCTATGCTCTCTAAAATCCGATTTCCATTGAGTCACTCACATTCGTCGTAAAGTGCAAAGTGTTGATGTACTTGTAGTCTATGCATAGTGACCGTGAGTGATATCCATAATTCAAATCAAACAATTGTGCAAAGTGACAAAGTCTTGCACTTTCTTCTGATCTCTATCTGCTATTGTTATGCTTCATGGTTCTCTGATCAGTTTTCTTTTGCTTCTTTAATAGTTACCAACGGTTGGGTTGCGTCTATGAGCTCCTATCAATGTGTATGTTGATTTCTTTTCTTTTTTTTTGTGAAATTCATTTTACTGCTCCTATTTTCATGGATTATTGACTCTGCCATTTTACCTCAAGAGGAGAAGATTTTCTTAGGAGGAGATCTAAATGGTCATGTTGGTAAAAGTAATGGAGATTTTGATAGAATTCATGGAGGTTTTGGCTATGGGACGAGAAACGAGACTGGAGAAGATATCTTGAATGTTGCACTAGCCTACGATTTGATGCTAGTGAACATCTTTTTTCGAAAAAAGGAGTCACATCTAATCACATATCATAGTGGCCAAAATCGTAGTCAGATTGATTTCTTTCTGGCTAGAAGAGAAGATAGAACTTCTTGTGTCGACTGTAAGGTCTACCCTGGAGAGCGTGTTACTACGCAACATAAGTTGGTAGTCCTGGAGGTTCGGTTCAACAAATTACTTACAATGAGGAAGAGGGCTCAGAACCCGAGGATAAGGTGGTGGAAGCTTAAGGATGGAAAAGACAGAGAGTTCAATGAAAGAATGTTGCACGAAGGACCTTGGGAGTTTGATGGAGGAGCAAATGCAATATGGAATGAGATGGCTAAATGTATTCAAAATATGGGAAGGAGGGTGTTGGGAGAAAGCAAAGGAAATGGATTTCATACAAAGGAAACATGGTGGTGGAATGGAGAGGTGCAAGAGGCAATTAAACATAAGAAGAAGTGCTTTAGATCTTTGCATAACAGTCCCAGTGAAGAGAACTTGCAAAAGTTTAGATTGGCGAGAAAAAATGCAAAGAAAGCAGTGCGAGAAGCTAGAGGCAAGGTTTTCGCTGATTTGTATAAAAATCTTGGGAGCAAGGATGGTGAAAAAGGTATATATAAACTTGCAAAAATAAGGGATAAGAAAAGTAAAGACCTCACCCAAGTTAGATGCATCAAGGATGAAAATCAAAATCTTTTGATGAGAGATGAAGATGTAAATGAAAGATGGATGAACTACTTCAACAAGCTGTTTAATGGGGATGGAGATATAAGCGAGGTTGAATTGGAGGACGCTTATGATGATTTGAATAGAAGATTTGTGCGCAGAATTAATACACATGAAGTTAAGGAGGCTTTAAAGAGGATGAAGACTAATAAAGCCTTTGGACCTGATGGTGTCCCTATTGAAATGTGGAGAGGCCTGGGGGATGTGGCAATAAAATGGTTGACCAATCTTTTCAATAAGATTCTCCAGACCAATAAGATGCCTGATGCATGGAGGAAAAGTATGATTGTGCCTATCTACAAAAACAAGGGAGATATACAGAATTGTTCAAACTATAGAGGCATTAAGCTAATGAGCCATACTATGAAGTTGTGGGAGAGGGTTATTGAGCATCGCTTGAGGAAAGATACCAAGGTTTCTGTAAATCAATTTGGATTTATGCCAGGAAGATGTACCATGGAAGCCATTTTCTTGATGCGACAACTAATGGAAAGATATCGAGAAAAGAAGGACTTACATATGGTGTTCATAGACCTTGAGAAAGCATACGATAGGATTCCAAGGAAAGTTTTATGGTGGGTTCTGGAGAAGAAAAAAGTACCATCAAAGTATGTAAAGGTAATCAAGAATATGTATGATGGGGCTACTACATGTGTGAAAGCTTGTAACGGAACATCAAGTTATTTCCCTATCATGGTAGGTGTACAGTACACCAAGGATCGGCTCTAAGTCCTTATCTTTTTGCCTTAGTTATGGATAAACTAACAAAAGATATTCAAGAGGAAGTGTCATGGTGTATGCTTTTTGCAGACGATATTGTGCTTATTGATGAGAGCAAGGATGGTGTTAATAGAAAACTTGAATTGTGGAGAAGCACATTGGAATCTAAAGGATTCACATTAAGTCAAAGCAAGACTGAGTATCTGAAATGTGAGTTTTCTCTGGTAAGAGATGTAGACCAAGATCTCGTGCATCTAAGTGGTCAAGAGGTACCCAAGAAAGACGCTTTTAAATACCTGGGCTCCATTTTGCAAAAAGGTGGAGACATTGATGAGGATGTAAATCATAGAATCAAAGCAGGGTGGATGAAATGGCGCAGTGCATCTGGGTTTTCGTGTGACCGCAAAATCCCCCTTAAGTCAAAAGGAAAATTCTATAAAATAGCAGTAAGACTTGCAATGCTATATGGAGCTGAATGCTGGCCAGCACATAGGCAACATGAGCATAAAATGGGAGTAACAGAAATGAGGATGTTAAGGTGGATGTGTGGTTATACGAGGATGGATAAGATACGAAATGAAGATATTCGACGAAAGGTAGGAGTACTACCGGTGGCTGAGAAGATGAGAGAACATAGATTGAGGTGGTTTGGGCACGTAATGAGAAGGCCCCTGGATGCTCCAGTAAGAACAGAAGTTTGTTACCAAGAGCTCAACACAATAAGAGGTAGAGGTAGACCGAAACTTACTTGGGGGAAGGTAGTAAAACAAAATTTAATAGAGTGGGATATAGATTGGCGGACGGTATGCCTTAGAACGGAATGGAGAAAAGCTATAAGCATGGTGGAGGGTTAGACCCGTTGTTATTCCTATGTTCCAGATGGTCCCTTTTTAGTCTTTTTCCCTTTCATTTCCCCCCTTCTTCTTTTCCCTTTCTTTTTTACTTTTATTTATATATATATATATATATATATATTATTATTCTATTTATTTATTTTTATTTTTACTTTTATATTTCTTTTTTCAACTTTTTGTATCTTTCATTTGGGTTCATTTACCACCGACCTCAATTAATTTGGGATAAAGGTGTTGTTGATGTTGATGTTGATGTTGATTGACTCTGCCTTATCCTTCATCTTGATTTCTTTTCCCCAAACTGTTAATCTATCATTTCCAACTAAAACTGCAATAACCACTCAAATTTTCTCATTTTTCATGTTAACTTGTTATTATCTTTATGATTGTAATCCCAGATTCTTAAAACCCATGGATTGTAACCCTTCCTCGCTAAACAAACAATACACATTCACATTATTACAAACTTTTTGTATCCCAAAATCAATTCCTATATTCTACCTCTATAATTTGTATTCCACCTTGAAGAAAGAAAGCATGTCCCAAGGATGCCTAACCTAGACACTCCTACAAGGTCTTGGCATCGCTGACAAATGACAAACATGATTGGAGGGACTTAAGATTGAATAATAGAATATTGTATATTTAGTAAATTGTTTGTTACAATGTACAAAAGCTCTCTATTTAAAGAGACTAAAAGACCTAATGGGCTAAGCCCATAAGATGTAAGACTATATACACTGAACTATTCTAACAACTACTCTAACACTCCCCCTCAAGCTGGAGCATATATATTGTAAGCACCCAGTTTGCCACAAATGTATTCAACCCGAGGACCTCTAAGAGCTTTAGTGAAGAAATCCGCGAGATGATCATTAGAGTTGACAAATGCCATTTTGATTTCTCCTAACTGAATTTTTTCTAGAATGAAATGACAATCGATCTCTATATGTTTAGTTCTCTCATGAAATATAGGATTAAATGATATATGTAGCGCAGCTTGATTGTCACAAATGAGTGTCACGAGCTGTTTCTGTTCACAAAGATGGAGCTCCCGAATTAACTGCTTTAACAATCACATGTAGCAACTCCCATTGCATGATACTCAGCCTCTGCACTAGAGCGGGCAACAACATTTTGCTTCCTACTTTTCCAAGAAATCAGATTTCCTCCAAAGAAGACACAATAGCCTGAAGTAGAGCGCTTATCCGAGGGTAATCCCGCCCAATCGGCATCTGAATAACCACAAATTTCTATATTTCCCTGATCTGAATATAATAATCCTTTCCCTAGTGCTCATTTGATGTACCGAAGGATCCTTACAATAGCATCCCAGTGAGAATCACAATGAGAGTCAAGGAACTGCCTAGCCGCACTAACAGCAAAAGAAATGTCCAGCCTAGTCACAGTGAGATAATTAAGCTTCCCAATCAACCTCTGATAATGTCCAGGATCAGATAATGACTCTCCTTGTCCAGGTAGTAATTTGATAGTAGGATCCATGGGTGTATCAACCAGCTTACACCCCAACATACCAGTCTCCTCTAGGATATCCAACGCATACTTCCTTTGACAGATAGAAATGCCCTGTCTAGACTGTGCTACTTCAATCCCTAAGAAGTAACGAAGCTTACCAAGATCCTTTGTTTGAATTAACTGAACAAATATTGTTTTAACTGGTAAATCCCAGCTTGATCCCTTCCAGTGAGAATAATGTCATCGACATAGACTAACAGATAGATGCATTTGTCAGATGTGAACCTATAAAACACATAATGATCGACCTTACTGCGAATTAAACCAAAAGCTTGAACAGCAGAACTGAAATGACTGAACCAAGCCTGAGGAGACTGCTTGAGGCCATATAAAGACTTACGAAATCTGCAAACCATTCCAGACTCCCCCTGAGCAACAAACCCAGGAGGTTTCTCCATGTAAACCTCTTCTTATAAATCACCATGAAAAAAAACATTTTTAATGTCTAGTTGAAGGAGTGGCCAGTGACGAACAGCAGATAGGGCAAAAAAACATTCGGACAGATGCCATCTTAGCGACAGAAGAGAACGTGTCACTATAGTCAAGTCCGAAGATCTGAGTAAAACCTTTCGCAACTAAGCGTGCCTTGAGACGGCCAACATGGCCATCAGGTCCAACTTTGACATTAAAGACCAACCGACAACCAACAATAGACTTCTTTGGAGGAGCATGAACAAGATCCCAAGTACCTTTGGAATGAAGAGCAGTCATCTCATCAAGCATCGCTTGGTGCCACCTTGGATGGAAAAGTGCTTCACCTGTGGTCTTAGGACTAGAAACAAAGGGGTAATGAGAAGTAAAAAGACGGTCATAGCTTAAAAAAGTATAAAAAAGATTAGGGTTACGAGTAGTACGTATACCTTTTCTTTGGGCAATGGGAAAAGCCTCTGGTGAAGGAGCCGGAGGACAAGAGATGGCTGGAGAAGGCGATGAGTCACCCATGGTCAAGTCCGCATGAGGCACTTTCTGACGACGCTGAAAGGTGAAAAAAGGGTGGTCTGCAGGGATGGAGGCAAGAGATCTTTCCTCTGGAAGAGAGTCACCTAAAACAGGTAAAGACAAGTCAAGAAAAGGAACAGGAAGGACCTGATCAACCTGTGACAACTGAGATGGGATAGAATGAAAGGGTTGTTGATCAAGGAAAGTGACAACGGAAACAATATAACGCTTAAGATCAGGAGAATAACAACGATAACCCTTTTTAATATGAGAATAACCAAGAAAGATACATTTAAAAGCTTTGGATGTTAACTTATCCCAACCAAGAGTGAGATCATGAACAAAACAAATACAACCAAAGACATGTGGAATTATGGATAAAGAGGAGCATCTAGAAACAATAGATTATAAGGAATGTCATTGTTAAGCAAAGATGAAGGCATGCGATTGATGAGAAAACAAGAGATGCGTACGACATCCGCCCAGAAGTGAAGGGGAACCTGCATATGAATAAGGATACAGGCAGTTTCAATGAGATGTCAAATTTTACGTTCAGCCACCCTATTTTGTTGTGGAGTGTGAGGACAAGTGATTTGATGTAAAGTACCTTGTTTAGCCAAGAAATTAGAAAAATCAATAGAAACATATTCCTTAGCATTATCACTACGTATAATACAAATAGAAACACCAAATTGAGTATGAATCTCACAAGAAAACTTTTTATAAATGGAATATAACTCAGAACGATTTTTCATTAAATAAATCCAAGTACAACGGGAATAATCATCAATAAAGGTAACGAAATACAGAAAACCTAAAACAGACAAAGTACGACTTGGACCCCAAATATCTGAATGAACAAGAAAGAAAGGAGCATCAACTTGTTAATTGACTCGACTGGCAAAGGAAGAGCGTGTATGCTTCCCTTCTGACACGACACACAATCTAAAGACTGAAAACCAGATAAAAAGGGACCAACTTCTGCAACTTCAAAAGACTTGGATGACCGAGGCAACTGTGGATAAGTTGTGGAGATTTTGTGAGAGAGCATGCCACTGATGCATGAGGCACAACCAGATAGTAAAGCCCCCGTGACTCACAAACCACTCCAATCATCTTCCTCGTACCCGGATCCTGCATAGAAACAGAATGGTTAGAGAAAGTAATGGTACAAGTGAAGGCGTGGACCAATTTACTCACAGAAATTAAGTTATAAGGGATGTCAGGAATGTAATAAACAGATGTCAAGGTCAAGGTAGAGGTGGACGAGCTTGTCCAATCCCATGAATTGAGGTTTTGGTTCCATCAGCAAGGGTAAAAGAAGGTAAATGTTTAGAAATAAGTAAGAGATGTAAAGAGTTCCTTATTACCACAGAGATGATCAGTAGCACCTGAGTCAAATATCCAAAGGTTAAGTGATGTAGAATGAGAAATACAAGCAACGGGAATATCAGTATCTAGAGCGGAAGGCTGAGACTGAGGAGAAACCTTCCTAAGAAGTGTCTGGAGTGCAACATAGTCTGCAGGTGACAAAGAAACTGAACCAGAGGATGCAGTGTTTTACTGAGCTATATTCGCAGCAAAAGATGGTCGTAGGTGAGGATACTTCGTGTAACAACGATCTTCAAAATGAACAAGTCTCAGACCACGTCCTCCTAGGCCCTGGCCACGACCACGACCATGTCCACTGTTCCCGCGAGTGTTAGTATGGGAAACAAGGACAGTAGAATCAACAACAGAAGATGAATCAGGAGCAAAAATTGGTTTCTTGTTGAGATTCAAGAGGCGTTGGTAGGTCAATGATAGACTAGGATCCCCACTAGTCAAGATAGTGTCACGGACACAAACAACATCACACTCCCCGGGAAGATCAAAAAGAGTGGTAACCATAAAGAGAGACGGTCCACCTGTTTTCTATATGCAGAAGCATTAGAAGGGTAAGGCATCATATCCAAGTACGCCTGCATGAAAGATCGACTTTTCCCAATATATGTTTCCATCTGAATATCAGATGATTTGCGGAAATTCATGAGTTGAGACATAATAGAATAGAGCTCTTGGATATCATTAGTGTAGAGGTGTTTGGCTTCCTCCCACACTTCATAGCATGTCTGAAAAGAGTAGAAAATATCCAAGACAATTGGATTAATAGACTGCCAAAGAATACTTAGAAGTTGATTATCAATCCTTTCCCATTCAGATTTCTCAGCCTTAGGGATATCAGTAGATGGAACAGTGAGACGACGCCCATGTCCCTGTCCAAAGAACCAGCCACGAACAGAGGTGGCCCAATTCTTGTAGTTATCAGAACCCTTCAATTTGGAAGAGGTAATGGGCCCAACATTAGTAGAGAAGATACCTGATGAAGTTTTGGAAGGAGGAGGAGGAGGAGGAGAGTTAATATCCGAGAGATCAGGGGATGATGCTGCCATTAAAATTAAAAAAAATGCCGGAAAAGTTTTCTAGTGATGAACAGTAACTTCGGCAACGAATAGCACGGACGCGTCAACAGTACCTGTACGGTCGCGTTGAACAGTACCTGCACAGACGCGTTGAGCAGTGCCCATATGGGCGCAATGAACAGTGTCACGTGAACAGTGACGTCGAAACAAGCCGGAGGGAAGCACGGCGTAGAGGAAGAGAGAACACCTAAGCAGTGGGCTTAGGGTTTTAGCGGAAGTGAAAGTTCCTAGAACAAAGAGATCTGGTACCAATTTAAGATTGAATAATAGAATATTGTATATTGAGTAAATTGTGTGTTACAATGTACAAGAGCTTTCTAATTAAAGAGACTAAAAGATCTAATGGGCTAAGCCCACAAGAAGTGAGACTATATACACTGAACTATTCTAATAACTACTCTAACAGGGGGAAAGTATCCAGGGTCGGCGGGCGGAGGTACTAGCGGATGGTGACTAGAGTGATGATGGTCCGAAGATAAGGTTACTTTTGTATTAAAATTATCAAATATATTTAATTCTTATATTTTTTAAAGTTTAAAAGGGTTAATTGTTATAATTGAAAATACAAGGAGGTTTTATAAAAAAGGACCCAAGTATAATGTGGTTATGTATAATTTACCCTATTTTTTATAAGATATCTAGTTGAAGGAAATTTCCATTTTATTATGTGTCTAATTTGAATTTGCCTAGGATTTTCATTATCTTTGGGTTATAAATATCTTTAGATCCCTTATGAAATTCAAACTTTTGCATTATTGATAATTGATATTTTCTTTAATCAAAGAGTATCGGAGACTTGAGTTGAAGGAGCATTCCACCTTAGAGGAGCACTCTAGGTTTATCAATGGAATACCCAACCAAGAAAGTACTCTTGGTTGCCTGTCCTACATCAATATCTTGTCCTCCCCGATGTTTTATTCCTCGTGTCTTGTTTTCTATTAAGATTTCTTCTTTTGTCCCCCTCCCGCCAAAAAAGAATATATATTTATATATATATAAGCAGTCCCAAAAGAACAGTTCTACGTGAGATATATAAAATAAGGAGAAATTACAATTCACATACCAGCGGCATTTCCCCCTCCCCTTCGTCAGCTATTACATGACCAATAATCAGAAACAATGAATAAAGTTCTTCCAACGTTTCAGTCAAGTCAATACTGCCCCTGCCCTACAAATGAATTTAATAACTTGAGCTATGGAAAGATTCACATAACTTGCAAAATATATTATATACTTTGACATCTTAGTGGTTTAGTTTGGTTCATGTAAAAAGGATTTTTTTTAATCAATAACCAAAATGATCTAACCATTATGACCAAACTTCAAACTCATCAAAACTTATTGTCATTTTAATCAGTTTCCAACTAAAAAATGCAGTTAGATTTTCAATAATGCTACACTCATGCGCCTTACACATACATCACCATTTTCCACGTTTCCACCATCCTATTGCAGCTGGTCCCAGTTCATTTTTCGCATACCTACACTCTGATTTCGTCACCTATTCCTGGTCTGAGGTGATGTGCACCCATGAGAAGGGCACCAACCATTATTCTTTGTTTTTGTACACTCCTAGCTCCGTATGATTACAGGTGTAGTAGTATCGATGACAGTATGTCAGAAGCTGAATTAAAATGGTTGTTTTGATGTTTAACATTGTATTGTATCTTAATGGGAGAAAACCAAGAGCTGCGCCTTTTCCTTGCAAGAGCATTTGGCAGGCTGAGCATCCTAGAAAGATTGATTTATCTTTTGTGGACAACAGCATGGAGAGAGAATCTAACATTCTAACAGCAACAATCTAAGTGCCTGTTTGGATCCTCTTTTTTTTAAACTAGAAACTACTTATAAGCATAAGCTAGGCCAAACAGGTTTTAAGAAAAGCTCTTATAATAAAAAGCTCTTTTTTTATAATGAAGAAAAAAGCTGAAAACTAAAAGCTCATAGGAGGAGCTTTTTTTTAAGCTCTTATCTATTTTTCTTAAATTGTGTGCTTTTTTTCAAATGAAGAGTGATAAAGATAGAGAGAGAGATATTTTTAAGCTAAAATTTTTATATAATTCTTTTTTAAGCTCTTTTTTTAGCTTTAACTTATAAGTAGTTTCTAGCTTAAAAATAAGAAGATCCAAACAGGTTCTAAGGGCAAGTAATACGAATGTTGTTAGTTAGTTGCTTGCTAATTATAGTCTGGTTACTAGAACCTAGCACTATATCCTCAGAATACTTGGAATGTCGCAGGTTATGACTGGAGGTGTTATTGCTTTTAACACTGCAATGGGGTAGGGGAGGAGTAACGATTTGGAAAGCAGTTCCAGGTTTCTTGCTATGGACATTGTTCTTGGAATGAAATACACGAATATTTCAGGGTTGAGAGCTCCTTGCTTAATTACTTTTCTGGATTCCTTTTGGAATGCAGTCAAGCAGCCTTAGTAAGACTATCACACATATCGTCAACTTCTTATATTATAATGTTCGGTGTTTTTCTTTAACCAATCCAGAAGCACATTTTGCTTTGTCTACCTACTGTAAACTGGTGTAAATTTACCTCCTTAATCTCAAAAAATAAATAAATAAAAATCCCTCCCTCCACACCTTGGCTCTCCCCACCTCTGCTTCCTTGGCCAACATTTCAATTTTTGTGTCAGAACAATTACTAATCTCAATTTCGGTCGTCTGAATAATTACTAATCTTTAGGAACGGGCAGGGGGTAGGAAAAGCAAATTTGTAGATGACATCTGAAATCTTCATCAAAGAAAGTTATCCTCCATAACAAAGTATAAAACCAACCTGATTAAGGTGTCCAACTCGCTCAGAAAACACTCTCATGAGCAAAGGAATTGTAACATCAACAGAAGCTCTAGCAATAAGTGCATAGGAGCTTAACCTTTCATCCATGGCTGCAAAGATAGTATCATTAGAAAAAAAAAAAGGAAATTCATCAAGCCCCAAATGAATTTTCGGTGATGAAAAACTTTAGTACTAAGTTTTTAATGTTTGAAGAGATTTGTTTCAAGTATTGGATGTATTTTAAAAGAAACTACTAGCATTTAAAAAACAAATGAGTTCAGCTGAATGGAAAGAGTTGTAACTTAAATAATATAAATAAGGAAAGGGTTGCAACTGAAGGCATTGAGTGACCATGCAATTCCAGCACATTAAAAAACAAAAAATCCGACTAGCGAGGATAGGAGTGAGAATAATCCTTGTACAAAACCTTACCCTCACATATTTGCAAAGAGATTGTTTTCTGACCTTTTGGTCACAAAGAAGCATCTTTATCGGTGCCCTCTTATCAATTTCAGCGCATTATGACTTTACATTTATTTTTCATAGGTATTAAAGATTAACCACTAAATCATCTTCAAGGTAACAACTTTTCATTTTCAGCGCTAAATTGAGTTCTCAAACAAGCCCTGACCCATCACATTACAAAGTAGGACTCAGTCTGCTGCCTGTATCTGCTTTCTCATGTAGTCTATATTCTACATTCACTACAACAACTTAAAGAAAGTCAAACAACAACGGCAAGGACAATGTAAAGAACCAATTCAACCCAAAAGCTTAAGTTGTTGCGTAAGGACCCTTTTAATGATTTATATTATTTTCTAACACGCCCCCTCACATGAGAGCCCACTAGGCTTGAAGGGGGGACAATGCATAGGCCCACTTACCTAAGCTAAGGAACTCCACAAAACTTAATTAATTATTAATTAAAATGGGGGGCGGTGAGGATCGAAGACACCGAGACTCTAATACCATGTAAAGAACCAATTCAACCCAAAAGCTTAACCTGTTGAGTGAGGGCCCTTTGAATGATTTATATTATTCTCTAACAGACAATATCACCAATAACATAAAAATGACAAGCGAATGCTAGCATGTGCAAGTTTCATAAATCATTGTTCCATACCAGATACAGAAGCATGAAGATAGAATGAACCGCCCTCATCATTAAATGCTGATGCAGAGGCCACTAAAAAAATTCACATAATCATAAAATAGGAAAAACAAAGCAAGTAATACAAAAGAAAATGACAAAGCATTATAGAAAGTTGCATATAGGTTTTACTTCTTAGCTCGCATTCCACAATGAAACCAAAGAGATTGGCAGCAGCTTGTATCCCTTCAGATGGAAGCAAAGCATTCACAGTGATAGTATTTATTGGCTGGAGAAGACAACAAATATTGTCCAGTTTAATGACTAGAACTAAACAATCTTCAGATTTTTGATTTTACATTGAATAATGCTAATCCCAAATTAATCAACTAACAATGTTTACTGATTGCGAATGAAAGGTACTCCTTTTGTTCCATTTAGGTTCACAAAATTTAATAGTCATTTATTGGTAGTTAGGAATAAAAACTACCCGAAGAATTGATTAAATTGATAGCGCTACAATTACACCATAAAAAAAATGACAGTAACATTAAAATATGTAACAGGTAATTTTTTTTCAGATAGGAAAAATGTTATTAGAGTTAGAGAAAACAAGTAATTATTTTAAATAATTCTATTTAAATGAATACCATTAGAAGGGCAGTCCAAGTATCCAATAAGATATCACGTGCTACCCAGCTCCAAGTCTCCTCGTCTGTGTTACTAGTCAACAGGACTTTAATCACTTCAGACATCAATGTTGACAAAAAGGTAAGGGTACCGATAGGCCTGAAGCATCATAGATGTTTACTCATATCAATTCATTTCAACTATCATTATGATTAGAAACACCTACAAAAGAAATTACAATTACAATAACCTCATATATTTTAGGAGATCGTCAAACACATAAGGAGTTGTTACATTTGCAATAGCCAATAATGCACGACAACCATCAAGCATCTCGCTGAATGAAACCAGCACCATTTGAGGGTCAAATATAAATAATAAAACCATGCAATGGTGGGTGTGTGCACCGGTAGGTTGCACATGTGCATTATACAGATAAATATCCCCCAAACCTTTCACATTTTCCACATTCAATAGCTTTTGAAACAGCATCAGGAGGATCTACCCATTCTATTATCCCACATAGGAGTTGCAGAAGATGCCGCTCATGCATTTTTCCATCATCTAGATCACAGCACAAACAAACTCAGAATTTCAAATCAAGTATTTACTTAAATGAGAATTTTTTATTTTATTTCTATTTTTTAAGAGGGGGGGGGGGGGGGGGTGAGGCTCAATAGTGTAGAGAGAAGTGAGTCCCCATACTTTCCAGAAGATATATATCAGAAAATATAAAGTTTGTGCAAGGGCCACTTAATTTAACACTTTATCAAGGATGATCTTACTATCAGTAAAAACTACTTGACATCTCTCTATAATATCCATCCTAACCATATCATCAGAAAGACAGGAAAAATACTTATCAACATGAACATTATAGTTCTAAGAAAATGCACGTACAATTTGCATAAAGGTGGACAAGAAAACACATATACCAGAAAGAAATACAGTTCCTGTTACAGAACAAAATTGTACAATTAGCTTTCGAGCAGAGGCTCCAATAGGGCAATTAGGCCAGTATCCTTCACATGAAAATTTCTGCCTCAATGCAGCATATAAACTCAAAAGCCATTCAACATGACCACTTAATATCAACACATCGCGCCAGTCTGAACCAGGCTGCACGTAAGCATCAAAAACAGAATCCCATCAGTTGGAGATTTATAGCCCAAATTTTCAGTTACGACTTTTATCATGATGTTTCTTGTCTAATGTGTGGCAGTGATCAGTCTGATATACTGTTAATGAGCAAACCAACTGATTACCTGCACTAGGTGACATTCAGACCTTTTAGGAGAATCCCCATCTTGCCTAACTCCAGCAGAGAAGACATTTACATTTTTTTTTGAGTCACCAGTATTGCAACGAAAATCCCAATTCAGAATTTGAAGCATGAGATCCAAAGCAGCAGTGCAAACTTTAACCTCAGGTACAACGGAGTCAGATTCAATAATCCTATTTGTGACACTTGAAGCAGCTTCTTGTGTCCAATGGTAGAATGTCTACAATATAGGTAATATAAAATGGGGGGTTGGGAGGGGGGGGGGGGATAATTGTCAACGCTAATAGAAAAACTTAATTAAGCCAGGAAAAAAAGTGTAACGTGGAATAAATATTTGAAATTGGAAAGACCTTTAGATAGTCTTGCTCAAGTGACCTCCGACACTGCTCATGAAATTCCCTTGGAAGGCCCATAGCACTCGAAGTAGATGGAGAAAATTCGGATACCTATCAACATTAAATAAATAATAAAAAACCAGTAAATACTTAATAACTGAAGCAATAACAGGAAATGGCTACAATTTCTTCACAATAAAATAAAGTATTACATACCAATGATTCGAGGAATTTGATTCCAGCAAACTGCATATCTACTCCATGAATGCCCACAATAGCCTGGCTCACCTGCAGTATGTGAAACTGTCAGGCATGCACAACAGGTGGATGTTTGAGAGAAATTAAAAATCCTGAATGCATATCCTAACAAAATTTGTGATAAAATAAAGAACAGAGAGAGGATAAAGCAACAAGAAGAGCATTAGGTTCTTAAAATTGAAAGAATAACCATTTAGGATATCCTGGTGATATATTTACATTTCAAGATAATACTTGAAAATGAAGATTGTAATATTGAATTGTGTATTCAACTGTACAAAGGTTTCTATATGTAAAGAGATTAAATAACCTATTGGGCTAAGACCAAAGAAAATTCTACAATAAAATAATAAATAAAATAATATTACGATTATTATTTACAACACTCTCGCTCAAGATGAGGAATAGATATTTATCATTCTCAGCTTGCTAATAAGTTCTTGAAATCTATCTGAGGGAGGACTTCGTTAGAAAATCAGCTAATTGACGCCCAGAGGGAATGTATGGAGTGGCGATCAACCCGCTATCAAGTTTCTCTTTGATGAAATGGCAGTCAATCTCAATATGCTTAGTCCGATCATGTTGAACTGGATAACATTCTTTTTTCTAATAAAATGGAAAAAAAGATAAGATTATGTCTGAATGCCTTCTTAAATTTTTAAATTATTAGTCGTAAAATTAGTTTATTTTCACACAGAAGTGATGGATTTCAAACCAGCCAGCAAACAGTTTCTGTTCAAAGAAAAACCCAACCTAGCCACTCAAATTTACTCTAGTTGTTCAGTCATCAGTTTAATCAATTCTGAGGGATTTTAACATGCCACCGATAAATTTCACGCATATTATTAGTGTTATAACATAATTCTTCATTTTGAGTACAGAAATATGAGTAGGAGGGAGAGGAAGCAGACATGCAAAAAGAGCAATACTGAGACCAAAGCTGAAGGAAACTACAAACAGAAACAAAAAATGCCAGCACCTGATAAAAGAGTGCCTCCTTCTCTGCAGCCACCAACTCAAGCCTACATATAGAAAATAATTCCCAAACCAATTATAAGACAGATGAATCCATAATCTCAAACCATAGCCAATACTGATCTGCAACAATATAAAAATCTTTTCCTTCTTGGGAAAATAAACAAAGCTTCCTATAATTAGAACAAGTCCAACACAGGATATATCTCTAAATTTGTCATTGTTCATATATAACTAAGTCAAAGCTTGTTCATAGTTATTGTAGTAGAGTCAATCTCTAAAGAGAAAATTATTAGTCTTTAAGGTTCTTGCACCTATTGCATTTCATTTTAAGCACTATCCATACTTTAATTATAGGTGCTATTTTTTGTAAAGGAATGCAGGCATATATATGGACAGGTCTCCCTCTAGCAGACAGACACATATCTTATGGGAGCCATGGTTAGTTGATAAACAAGTAAAGGACACCACAATTCACATATTTGGAGAAAGCTAAGTAGCTTCTTCACTTTATAAAACCAGGTCGGCCTTCTCACACTGACAAAAGAATTCACCAAACCTTCATCTTGTTAAGCAAAGTATATGCCTTGAGAATAAAATCTTTATCTTTCCCTCTCCAAAAAAAAAAATGAAGAAATTTCATTGGAGGCAAGAAAAAAGTACAGCAGCAGAGGATGATCAGATCTCAATCCATCTGAAACTTTATATGCTTTACTTTTAATTTGAGCTAACCTCACATCTTTTGCTAGGGAATACGACCAGAATTTAAACCAGTATAACTCGATACCAGTTTGGTTTGCACAAATTCAAATACAACTATTTGTACAAAGCACATTTTCCACGGAACTCAAACATAACAAGGTCACAAATCATCCTTCACTGAAATGAATAAGAGAGTAACGATGAACCATTGAAAGCTCAACTATCTTTGTTAATTTTCTCACAGTTTCCCTTTCAAGTAATTATTATGCGCAATCTCTAGAGGATGTAATATAAACAATGTAATATTATATTTCCAAATAGATTTAAGAAAAACTGATGATGTCCATTATGAAAATTTAATCTTTTTAAGGTAAAAATGAGATATCAAGTTTCTAGTTCTAAGCTAGTGCCCCAGTCCATCTGTTAACAGCTGACATGATCTGGCTATTCTTGTTCTAAGTCACTTAGAGCTGATGAGATTTACATGTCCTCAGTCTAATATATACCTTTTTACGGTTTCAGGTTTACTTAATGTGAACAAAGTTTTACTTTTATTAGATTGATAAATAACTATGTAATCTTCGTATTTTATTTCTATAGTACTTTTATAATTTCTTAGAAGTGAATATATTTAGAATTTCAATAACGGTCTTTGAAATTATACAGTTTTGAAATAATTTAAATAGATGTACTACAGTTGCATCTGCACTGTAAGACTTTTACAATTTGATGAAATCTTACCAACATATGCACTCACTCCCACACCACGCTCTGGTTACTCAAGTTCTAAGACAGTATACAGCATCCAGCCCATAAAGCAAATTATTTCAATTCAATGGGAATTTGATATTCCTGCATTATCTCCAAAAGTTTGTGACAAAAAGAATCTAGTGTTCAATTATAGAAGAGACAAGGTTGTACATGCAAGTCACTTATTCAGTCAAGTTTCTAATAAAACAAAAACAGAATGCGCTACTTACCAACCCCTTTTCATCAACTGAGTAGCCACCGAAGAAACCTTTGCTTGGACATAGCTATCAGGAGAACTGGCATGTTGCATGGCATAGCACAAGCAAAAACTGCGAGTAATATATATTTAAACAGGAACAAATAGCAATAGGTCAAAACGTAGCATGATTGAATCTAATATATAAATATCGTTATAAGTTGCAACTATCAGAGAAGTGATACATTATATATATTTGGCTCCTCGTTTTCCCCTTTTAAAATACAGGACAAAGTTCAATAAGCACCCATACAGGTAAATCAGTTAGCAAATTTTAAAAAGAAATAGCAGAACAACATTTTCCTCTTTTCGAATACAGGACGAAGTTCAAGTATCCCTATTATTAAACTCCCTCACAGTTTGATTTTAAAGTAGTATACATATACCAGGGGTGTTTTACAAGCTTAAGATTTCAGGTGATAGAATAGGTCATCACTTCAAGAACTCCTCTCCCATCTTTTCTTGTTCAATAAGTCTTGATAATCACTTCTGAATCATTATTTCAAGAATTTGTATTTCTTGAAGTATTCTCTGTTTCGTTTAATATAGCAAGTCCATGAACAAATTCCATTTTCCAGAAAGTGCATATTTTTCTTATTTTTCTCATCATAACTTCTCCCAACCACAGAATGAGTAAATGTGTTAAACTTGACATAAGAATCTCCACTATCTGGAACATGCTCATATATACAAGAAACCCCACCCACCAAATGCCCCCTGAAAAAGGAATTTGTAATTAATAGTCTCCTCAACTGATAACATTTTTATCCATGGCATGGAACATGCAAAAGAAAACACACTCTTCCTAACAAAAAGGGGGATGCTGTCAATAAGACAACACTTTTTTTGGGTAATGATTGGAACAACAATTATTAGGTGCAGAGGAAAGATGTTTTATTGTAAATTATATGAACAGGGAAATTCATGATATAAGTATCAAAAAGGCAACAATGTTTGTGGATTCAAAGGTGTAAGAAAACCTAATCAAGCCTCTCTTGACATCAGCATTAAGAAAACCCCATTCTCTAATAGCTGCTTCTTGGATTGCTGCTGCCGCTTGAAACCTTGCAGCTGCCACCAGGGAATTCTCTGCACAGATAAAACCAGTACAGTATCAGCATGATCTAAAGAGATCATCAAATCCATTCAACACTAATGACAAGCAAAATTGACCTTAGGAACCAATAGTTGAGTCGCATGTACTATTACCGATGAGAAAAATCGAATTACTGAACAATTCTTCAGCAACAAGCATAGCATTATAATACGGATTTGTTTTCAAGTTGGTTGTTTTCACTATCCAACTAACAAGAAACACAAAATATATGCATAATAATGATGGAACCAGAAAAAAACACTCAAATTGATATAAAGAAGAAACCAGATACAGATTAACAGACAATTACATTAGAAAGAACAAGAGGAAAAATTCCACTCCAAGACAACAACCCAGCCTTGAGAGCTTCCCTATTTCCTCTCCTAACTCCCCATCCTAATTCCCCATATTACAAAATAACAATCAGCATAAAGAAACCCCACCATAAACATCCATATATAACTAATTCCTAACTAATGGGCTTGGATACTTTATTAAAGGCCCATCAAATAATTATCTGAGAAACTAATGAAGTTCTTAAGTAAACTATTTGAATTGCAGTTTCCACATTTTAAAACAGCAGTATATCCAGCACTGTGATGATTTCACCTTGAGTAAACTACAGCATCAACAATATGTCCATCAACACATATAATCCAAGTTAATTTGCAGATTTTAGCCGGTCAGTAATGATTTGAATCATGTAAACTCACCAAGAATGAATTGGCAAGTCTTGTATGGCTGAGAAGACTGGCCTAATGACAACATAACTGTCTCAGATGCTCCTGGGTTACTATGCATCTGAAAAGAAATACATAACAAGAATAAGAATATTATTACATGTCATGAACCATTTCTCCCAACTCAAAAGTTTTGTTAGGTGAAGACACATGAATGGTTTTATATTACATCTGTAACACTCCCCCTCATGCAAGAGGGCTTTGAGCTTGAAACGTGGACAATACATATGCCCACCTACCTTGTGCCGAAATTCAACTTTTTATTGGAAGAGGGAGGATGGCAAGATCGAACTCTAAATCACTTGGTCATTGAGGCTCTGATATCATGTTGTGAACTAACTCTCCCAGAAGCTTAAGTTGTTAGGTAAAGACACATGAATGGTTTTATACTACATTACTAACATTACCCATTTTCATTCCTATGAGTTCGTGCTATAAATGAAATGCTTGCCGAAACTCTATTCCTTCACTGCACCCACATGGATTTTGAAGTAGAAATTGTTAAAGTAAAAATCATCTTCAAGAAACAGTTGTGGGACTAGGAACTTCCCAATCTCTATTGCAAAATCTAGTGATGTATTAAACAAAGAGAATCAAACAGAGAGAGGGAGACGTTTCCGACAAAGTACTTTTGCAAGTGAATGATGTATGCTAGTCATCCTAGACTTTACTAGCATGTAAGGACTTGGATTAGAATAAACCAAAAATGAGAACAGAAATGGGGAGTTAAAACAAATTTCATAACGTGCACTACGAGAGTCAAAAAAATGTTGAAAATTTGACAGTGAGTGCCACATACATCCATTGCTTGACAAATATTTTCCGACCAAAAAAACAAAAAATGAAAAAAGATTTCGGTAATGGTATACTAGCAATGTGCTTAAGTTTGACAAATGCAGTTTTTCTCATAATATTTCTTACATGAGAGTAAAGAAAATGTAAATATACTATCAAAAGTGTATATAATATGATCAAGAATTTTTTTATTTTTTTTTATGTAAATATGATCATACCATATATGAGAGTTTTAGAGCAAGAAAGTTTAGACATAATTGATTGGAATGGAACCTGAATTGAATTGCAAGCGAGCTCGATTGCTCGCATGGTAGATTGGAGCTCGGCTAAATCTGTAGTTGCAGGTCCTGCTGTAAACCCTTGCATCTTGGCGCGACAACAGATTCGGAAGAAACAATTCAAAATTCCTTATCGGGAGGATTGAATTAGTTTGAAACAATAATGAGAAGATCACGATGGAAACCTGCCTCGATGAGATGAATCGCAAAAGGAAGATGACGCTGTGAGAGTGAGTGTGAGTGTGAATGAGTGTGAGTGAGAGTAGTAATAGTAGTAAGAGAGAACAACGTTGGGTTTCTCTTTATACAGATGAGTATGGTTGGGCTTCCTCTCTATTAATATACCCAACAAGTGCGAGCGCTAGTCTCCTTGGTTCTCCCCCTAATCTGCATCCTCAAGCGAAGGGTTTTTTACATCCCAAAAATAAAGGGAAGGGTACTTTATATAGTTACGATGTTGCATGATAATTCAATTCTTATGTTGTGACTTAATTAGTGGTGGGCCCATATTTATCAAAGAAAAGAAAAATTTTGCACGTAAATCGAAGGGTCACAACATGAGAATTGAATTCTCATGCAACATGAAAAAATGTTTTCTCATAGTTTATTACTCCTTTTTTTCATTTAATATTTTTTTTATTTAATCATAATTTAGAGTTTAGTGTTAATACAAATTAGAGTTGGTAAAGCAGACCAATGATGTACATGCTAAACTTTCTGAAATCAATTTTTTTTAATTTCTGTTTTTGAAAATAGAAATTGATAGAAAATTTGTTTAGTAAAACAAGTTTATTTTTATTTTATTTTTCCGGAATGAACCGTTTTGATTTTTGTGCTGAGGAACAGAAAAAAGAATAAAAAAAATTCTGTTTTTTTGTTCTCAGACACAAAATGAGAAGCACTTGTCTCTCTTAATCACTCTCCACCTCTACCAACATCACCACCACTACCATTATCCCGACACAACCACCGCCACCATCGTCGAAGCCGTCGTCGTACCACCAGTGTCGTCATCACCACCCCCACCACTACCACGATGCCACTGCCACCACCACCACTATTATCATCGTCACCACCACCGCCACCAACCACCGCCACTATCAGCGCAACCACTGCCGCCACCATCGCCACCGCTACCACCACCAAGACGCCATCACTACCACCATCGCTGCCATCACCACCACCACATCAACCACTACTACCATCGCCGCAGCCACTGCAGTTACCACCACCAGCACCGTTATCATCGCAGCAACTGCCGTCACCACCATTACCACTGCCACCAACCACCACCATCATCATCGCAGTCACTACCATCTCCACCGCCACCGCCACCGTAGCCACTACCATCACCACTACCACCATGCCATCACCACCAATTTGTTGTCACTGCCACGCCACCACCATCGCCACCTCTACCACCACCATCATCGTCGCAATCACTGTTGCCACCATCGTCGCCACCGCCACCACCACCACCACCACCACAATCACTGCCAACACCACCATCACCATTACCACGCCATTACTATCATTACCACCACCACCATATAGAAAGGAAAGTGATGATCTAAATTTTTTTTATGTTTAATAGGAATTATTTTTTATTATATTATTTATTATATCATCAAACGCAATTCTTATTCTCGGAATAAAAATAGAACATGTTATCAAACATATTTTTTTCTCAGAAGCTGTTCTAAGGCATAGAAATATAAAATAATTGTCACTTTTCAGAAACAGTGTCAGGAAACAGAATAGTTGTTATACACACCCCAACTCTTCTTATCCCTACTGTACCTCGAGGCGGGTTGAGGAACACTGACCAAAATGTCATTGTTCACCAACTTTTTTACCTAAATGCCACGCGAACAGTGTTATTTTTTTATTTTATTTTTTTGTAATAAAGAGGGGCAAAAGCCCCTAACAATGTTATTTTTCAATATGCCACGGGGGCAAGTTCGCTACCCTGTGTAGCGAACTCGGTTTGCTGACGTGTCACATTTTTAATGGATAACAAGTATCAAATTTAAAAAAATAATAATAAAAAAAATGAAGGTCGCCTACCATATAGGCGAACTTGGTTAAAATCAAGTTGGTGTCCACTAGAAACGTGACACGTCAGCAAACCGAGTTCGCTACACCGGGTAGCGAACTTGCCCCCGTGGCAGATTGAGAAATAACATTGTTCGCGTGTCATTTAGGTAAAAAAGTTGGTGAACAGTGACATTTTAGTCACTGTTCCGCGGGTTGATTCACATTTTATAAATAAATTTTAAACATTTACCCACTTCCTGTATAACGAATTTGCAGATTAACTCGCTTAAATAATAAAAAATCAAATATCATTTCTAATGAGTTCTAGCAATTAGCTTTAGTCCAAATCGAAATGTTACCAAAAATCGAAAGAGGGTGACAATAAAGCATAAAGATTTTATCTTTTTAATTTTAACTAAAAAATTAAATTAATTAAAATTATTTCTTCTCTATTTTTTTAAATATTTTTAACTTGGTTTGATTCCTCTATGAAGCTTCTCAAATATGCCTAATTTTAAGGTTTGGGATTATTCTTATTTGTGCACCCTTAATTCAAATGTATAAGCCTCATGTTAAGGATTATTTACTTAATTGTGCATCCTTAATTTAGATGTATAAGGCCCGGGTGTTTTTTTTATAAATTCTATTTGTATAATCAATTTCAAAATTTATTATCCAAAATAATTATAATTAATTTTACAAACCATGGCCCTTGCCGATTTGTTGTTCCTTAACATCAAATAACCTGAGTTACTATTGTTAAACAATTTAAACTTTCAAACCCACCGTATCTTCAATGCCTCTTCATATTCTTCAATGCTACTTTATTTTCTTCGGCCACACTTGCAATCAGTATTATTTGAAGTTTTTGCTATGTTTTTTGGCTCTAGATTTATACATGTGGGTGGATTTTTTCAATACTTCATCTTCTTCATTCATATAACCCATTTTGGATGGGGTCTTTTCAAATGTGCAACATGTTATCCCACCATTTCAGTGATTTTCCCCTGTGATTCCACGCGATCTCACTAGCTTACGATCTAGCAACCATTTCGGATTGATCAAGGATGAGAAGATCAGAAAATCGTAAGATCCTACAATCTGGATCGCTATTGTGACTTACCATGACTACAATGCATTCAAATATTGTCAATCAGCCACCGTATGCTTTATAAACACATCACCAAGTGACCAATGGTTAAAACATAAACATATCAACAAAAAATAAGCATCAAATATTAATAAAGTCAACAAGTTTATGTGGGGTTAGTGTAACAATGTAAGGGGACGGGAAATATTGAATGCAAAGAAAAAAATTAAATTGTAAAAAAATATCGCTAACTAATTTTCATAGGACAGAAAGAGGTCTCTGATTCACATTTTGTGTGGCAACACGAAAGAAGGAAATGAGAGATAGAATAGGGTTAAATAAGCTTTAACTCGGAGAGTATAAATATGGGATAAAATATTTGTCTTTATAAAGGATTCAACCTTATGTCATTTTAGATCCTAATCGTTTTTGACTCAATAAATTATAACCGTTGATTAACAGAAATAAACAGTTAGGATCTAAAATGACCTAAGGTTTATATCATTTAAAATGATAAATATTTTTCTCATTAAATATACACACACAAAAATCTCATTAGATATTAATTATATCTTAAAATATTTTAGAATGTCCTATGTGATCTATTACTAATATATATTTTTTATGTTTCATATTTACTTTCTTATTTGATTAGGCCATGGAGTCTAATATTAATATAAATATGAACTAGTGCTGTCACGTTATAGCATACCAAATCAATACAATTTTATATTATTTAGTCCTTATTCTCTCTTTTGTTCCTTTTAGCTTAAAAGCATATTTCACACCTTTCTTTTTTAAATGAAAAGTTATTTTTAAGTTAAAGTTAACATATAATTTCAACATTTATGCTGAGAGTTTAAGTTAAGTTTTTATGTAAATTTCACCTTTTTTATCAATTTTTATAATATTTGAGTTAAATTAATTGTAAGCTTCATACTTATAATTTTTTTAAATAAGCCTTTACATATTAAATTTATAAATGAGTTATTATAATTTTAAAGACATTTTTTTATAGGTCTGTATAACATTATAACAGTAAGTAGGATAAATTCAGGGACTATCTAAAACATCTCAAAATTACAACATAACTAAATCCCAAGTTCAATTTGATTTTAAAAAATACAAAAAAAAAAAAAAAAAATTGTAGCAAATTACACATGATTTCAATCGTATATTTGACATAACATAATTTTGTATTTTTGTTAATGCATAGCGGCCCGCCCACAGAGCAACGGGGGAGAATGGACCTCGCTTTTTTCTTTGTAAACTTTGTTAAGCAGCAGACCCCGATACTATTATTTATGTTTTTCGTCAATCTTGTATTATAATGAAGGAAAAGGTGTATGTTATTTTAAAGGAGATAAAGTTGTGAAAGAGAGATAGATAAAGAGAAAGAGAGAGTAAAAAAAAAATTAAAGACGTGGATCCCGCCTCTTTATAAGAGTGAAATGATATAAATTGTGTCATTCAAAAGACGGTCTAAAATCTTGGGTGACCTAAAATACTTCCTTGGCCTTGAGGTGGCCCGTAGCTCCGAGGGTATTTCTATGTGTCAAAGGCAATATGCTTTCGAAATTCTGAAGGACTCAGGCAATTTAGGCAGCAAGCCTCGCACTACTCCCATGGATGTTGGCCTCAAGCTCTCTTCTACTACGGGTACTCTCCTTCCTGATCCTTATGTCTACAGAAGACTCATTGGGCGCTTGCTGTATCTCACCATTACTCGGCCAGACCTCTCCTATGCTGTAAATTTTCTTAGTCAGTTCATGGCTTCTCCTCGTGAGCCTCATCTCCAAGCTGCACATCGTCTTCTTGGTTATGTCAAGAGTACGGTTGGCCAGGGTTTATTTTACTCTTCTTCTTCTTCCATTCAATTTAATGCTTTTTGTGATTTTGATTAGGCTGCTTGCCCTGAGAGTCGTCGCTCCATAACTGGTTTTTGCATCTTCATTGGTGATTCATTGATTTCCTGGAAATCTAAAAAGCAACCCACTATTTCCCGCTCTTCTACTGAGACCGAGTATCGTTCTATGGCTAATGCAACATGTGAGATCTTGTGGTTATTTTCCTTGCTGAAGGATCTTCATGTCTCCCATCCTGGCCTTGCCCACTTGTTCTGTGACGACATGTCTACTCTCCACATAGCTGCCAATCCAGTGTTCCATGAGCGCACCAAACACATCGAGATTGACTGCCACCTTGTTTGTGAACACATGCTTCGGGGCACCTTGAAGACGTTCTGAGTCCCTTCTTCCAAACAACTTGCAGACCTTCTCACGAAACCTCTTTTGCCCTCTCAGTTCTCTGTTTTATTGTCCAAGATGAGAGTTTTGAATATACACTTTTCATCTTGAGGGGGACTATTAGCATATAGAATTACTATTTTTACTTTTGCTTAGCTGTACAGTTTGTTATATAGTCAGATTGTATTTTTGCTTATCTTTTCTGTTAGGTGGTAGCGTGGGTGTGTGCATGTGCACCTTTTTCTCTCAGCTTTTTACTCTCTTTCTGTTATATTTGTAAGGGCTTATATATACTCCCTTTTGTACTCTTTTTCTGCAAGCAATGCAATGAGGTATATTTAGAATTTATTTTGTGTACTCTGAAACTAATAAGGACAAATACTTTTCTCTATGAATGTACGAATAAAATAATGTGGAGCATTGTGTACAGCAAAACAACAGTACTTCTTTTTATTTTTTTTCTTTCTCTAGTTCTCCAGTTTACTGTTTCCTAATCCTAGATCCTCTTCATGTGTCTGTCTCTACTCCTAGGGGCAATTAATCTCTTCCTTTCCTAACCAGGTAATGAGTTGGTTTCTATTACAAAACCGGATATACGCTTACAAAAAGAAATAAAATAAATTTATAATTAACATGTTATAAATAAAAAACATGCATAGTCAATATAATTAAATATAACATAATTATATTTTTTTAAGTAACTTTTTATCAGATACCATTTGTCATAAGTGAGAATTAGTAGAAATTTTTATTTTACTAAAAAGTCATACTGGAATTGTGTTAAATTTTGGGGACTACCCACTCCACTTATATATGGCAAGTATACAAGTGAAAGAAAAATGGAAGTTGGCTGATCATGATTCATGGCTTCTTAACATCCCCCTCTCCCTCCGTCGTTGCTCATTACAATGTGCAATCAAAACCACAAGATTTTTCCATAAGTTGTAGTGCAATCAAAGGACCAAAATCGCAGCAACAGTATCAAACTCTTGACGATGATTCCCTTATGAAAGTCACGGATTTTTTGGTTACCCAAAATCCATCTCCAGACTCCAAGTCTATCTAACTTGGCATGCAGAATACAACCTTTTTTGCCCTCAAGAAAGCACAGCAAACAAGGACTGGATAATAGCATCCTCATCAGAAACGATGACTATCTGATTGACCTTCCTTGCCGTCAAGAAAGCACAATAAACACAGACTCCATAAAACCATCCTTATCCGAAACAATGACTATCTGATTGAAATAATCTGTCCTTTAAATTCCAAAGTCCAATATAAAAAACTATAATTCGCCAAAGAGTGGTTAAAAAAATGAACATACCAAAAAGTTCATTGGGAAGACCTGGATAAATCCTTAATGCCATAGAATTTGTTCAAACGTTTGAATGAGTGTTGAGAAATAGCATTCATACTAACAAGGGACATAGCCAGCTCCATAGCATCATTTGGCCATCCAGCAAAACCAATCCCTTCAATCAATAATTTGTAAGTAGTTTCATTTGGCTGGCATCCTTTGTCAACCATCACAGCTAACACCTCAATGGCATCGTTAATTCTGTGCACTTTGCACAATCCAAGAAGAACTATGTTGTAACTAATAACTGTAGGCTGACACTCACTACTTTCCATGTCCACTAACAACCCAATGGCCTGATCCACCATTGCATCTCTGCACAAACAAGATATAAGTGAATTATATGTGATCCCATCAGGATCAATACCATTGCTTAACATCTCTAAAATCATCCCCAGCGCTCTAATTTTGTGCCCACAACTCCAGAGTGCACTGAACATTGTGTTATAGGAACTTGCATCCGGAGGACAACCCATTTCACCCAGCTTCTGAAAGATAGTCAAAGCTTCATCAACTTTTCCATTCTTACAGAGAGAGGCCAATATCGTGTTATAGTTCACAATATCTGGCAAGCAACCATCAGAGATCATATTATTCAAGAATTCTATTGCCAAATCCACTCTTCTCTCTTTGCATAATGCAGAAATCAATGGATCATAGCTGTGAGCATCAGGAGTCAACCCCTTTTCCTTCATAAACTTCAACAAACCTACCGCCTCCTCAACTTTGCCATCACGACAGAGCCAAGCAATGAAAATGCTGTATGTCACAACGTTTGGCTTGCAACCTTTAGAAAGCATGTCAGACATCAAATTCTGTCCAGCTTCCCATTTGCCTTGATTGAGAAGTCCTCGAAAAAGAAGATTATACGATATCACATCTGGGGCATAACCCTTAGTACTTATGCTGCTAATAAGCTCAAAGGCACGATCCACCAGTCCTTCTCTGCACATACCCTTGATGATTGCATTATAAGTGAACATGTCAGGTTGAAGGCCATTTGAGAACATCTCATCCAAAAGCTTCATAGCTTCATCAATACCACCCTTCAGAATGGTTGCTTCTATCAAAATAGTATAAGTAATCACAGTGGGCTTGCACTTGTCCTTCAACAACTGATCCATGACCTTGAAAGCCAACTCAAGCTTTCCCCTGGAACAAAGACTCCCAATCAGAATGTTGTACGTGACAACATCAGGCGCAAACCCCCTCATTTTCATTTTGTCGAGCACTTCATATGCAGAATCAATTCTATCAGCCTTGCAGAATCCACTAATCACCGCATTATAAGCGAAAATATCAGGCTCGCCGTGCTGCTCCAACATTTCCATGACCCGAACGGCTTTCTCGAATCTTCTGAAACTGAACAAACCCTTGATGAGTTTCGTGCACAGTATAACGTCAGGTTTGTAACCCTTGTTGACCAAGTGCTGAAGAAAGTAAAGGGACTCGTTGTATTTGCCTGCTTTGTAGGACCGGTTGAAGGCTTTCAAGAGATGGGTATCTTTAAAGTAGAGGTTTTGGGGGAGTTTGGGCTTTGTTTCAGAAGAAACACTGAAATCGGGTAGGTTCCTGCGCTTGCTAATGCTACCTTCATTGAGAAGTGGGACTTTGCAAGAAACAAGGGTGTTAGATTTTGAATGAGAATTGCGGTTCTGGTGGGGTGTAAATGGGAGTGTTCGAGGTAGCAATTCAGTAGAAACTGTTGTCATTGATGATAACGTTGGGTGGGTGTTTCCGGTTCAGTCCTCACGAACAAACCGTGTCGGTTATAACTGAACAGAAAACCTAGCACTTAGGAAGACATTGGAGCAAAAGATATCAAGTCACAAGATTGCGGATAAGGAATTAAGGACTGGATTTTGCTTTGCACGATAAAATTGATGCTGCAATGCAAGAAAGAAACTATATATCGGGTCGAACCCAACAAAATTTTATAAGATTTTATGAGATTAATTTTGATTTGATTTGATGTACCTCGGGTAAAATTTTATACTGAGTATTTTAAATTTAACAAAATTTAGAATAATAGGGATTAAATGGTATTATTTTAATTTTCTTTCCTTTGCAAGATTCCTTGTTTAAATGGTAAATAATATTTAAAGTTGTTATACGTGCAACAGTGATAGGTGTATGGTTATTATTTTTCATATTTAATATTTTTACCTTTTATATGATTATCATTCCGCACATGAAATATTTTAACTTGTATATATGAAAAAATTGTCACTGCTGCACGTAAAATGTCGGTAGGAAAATCAAACCCTATTTAAATAGATATGTTTGAAATTAAAACTTCAATATTGTTGTTAAGAAATATTACACAATTATACTATTGTCATAATAATAATTTGGTGTTCTTATTAACTCTGAAATAAATAAATAAATGATTTTATTATTTTAATTTAGAAAAAATGTGTGTCTTTTTAAATGACACAAATTTTGAATTTTTTTAAAAGAGAAATAGTCATAAAGATATGAGATCTACACTTTTATTTTTCCAGTGAGACCCAAACTTTTTTGTGTCTAACTCTCTTTTAAAAGGACATTAGTTTGTATCCTTTTCTTTTTTTTAAAAATATTTCAATCGGTCTATTGCTTCGAAATTAATCTGATTCGGAGTGGGTCTAGGATTAAGACTTTAAACCCCTCCCAAAGGTAGTACTGAAGAGATTCGAATACATGCTTTCACATTCACCTGCTTAGCTCTCATACGTCTATCATCAATTGATATTATTTTGTATTCTTTAAAAAGACACAATTTTCCCTTTAATTTATCATACAAATATTTTTAAACAATTAACAAAATATAACTCAATTCACTCAAAATTTTGGTGACTGTAGTGTTATCCGGAACAGTGACCATTGTGCCACTGTTCATCAACTTTTTTACCTAAATGCCACGCAAACAGTGTTATTTTCCAATCTGCCACGGGGCAAGTTCGCTTCTAACACAAGCGACCTCGGTTTGCTGATGTGTCAGCTTCCTGGTGGTGTCAGAGTTCGCTTCTGACACAGACAACCTCGGTTTCAAGAATATTTTAACCAAGTTCGCATACATGGTAGGCGAACTTCATTTTTTTTGAATTTTTTTTTTAAATTTAATACTTGTTATCAACTAAAAATATGACACGTCAGCAAACCGAGGTCGCTTGTGTCAGAAGCGAACTTGCTCCCGTGGCAGATTGAGAAATAACACTATTCGCGTGGCATTTAGGTAAAAAAGTTGGTGAACAGTGACATTTTGGTTAGTATCCAGTGTTATCCTATCATTCAATATTTTACTCTATCATGAAATATTCTTTCGTCCGTTTTTTTAGGTTGGTTGCCAACTCTATCATTAAATTTTATGTTTGAAATTCTACTCAAACATTAAATATTGCAAACTTTTTTCAAAGTAAAGAGATGAAACATTTATCTAGGATATTAAAAGTGACACCTTTGTCTAGAGTGTTAAAGATATAACTGTCGTCCAAAATATTAAAAAAACAAAGAGGAGAGATATTCTAACTACCAAAATTTTCCACTACCAACTTACTACCTATTTAATCACCATTAGATTAACATTTTTTCTCTCTTCAAAAACTTTTTAACATTCTCTCTCTTTGATCCAATGATGATATGATAGGTAGTAAGTTAGTAGTGAGAATTCTTGGTAGTTAAAATATTCTCACTCAAAAACAAAACATAGTCCAGATACATTAAAGATTATCTAAAATTTTGTTCATGTGCAAGAAGCAAGACACAAACATGGTATGTTAGGAGATACATTTTAACTACACTTATTTTTAAATAAACTTTTAATGCTACCTAAATCCATATATTATAATTTAAATGAGTGTAATATATATTATATAAATATTAAACATTTGTTCCATGTTAGACCAATATCTCTCGTGAACTGAATTAGCTAAAAGTCGTAAAAAGTTTAAGAAAACATGATTTTAGTTTTTGAAATGATTTTAAAATACTAATATTAACTTAGTCTTTTTGAAAATTGTAACATCCTCTACTACTAACTAGCATAGAGAATATCACATTAATTCTTAAGTGGAATTTTAACGCAACAAATATGAAATAAGGCATATGACAAAATACCCATAAAATCTAATTATACAAAAGTCAAGCTCATTATTACATCAGAAATACATCATAATCTAAACTAAAGATAAACATTTTCTTTCTATTAATTTGCTCCACTAAGATTCATATAGTCTTCAAAGTCTTTAGCCATGGTGCTTTATTCTACTCCAAAGCTACATATATTGGTCTGTTTACTCTGGAAATGTTAGCATAAAAATAAACACACGTGAGATAAATCTCAGTAATATTGGAATTTTCGAACTATAACCAATCCAGTCACTTTAGTGGAAAATATCATTCTCACATAATAAAATTTATAATAAGAAAATAATATCATAGACAATAAATATAAGCCCAACATTTGTGGGTTCTTCATTCAGTCATACCCAAACCTTTGTGGGTTCTAGATACATATATAGGAACATGTGATCTTTAACTGAAATAACTAATGTTCAATTCTGGAGCGCCCAAACTCTATGGGTTCTGTATGAGAAATGTTCTGTACGGCGGAGCTCAAGCCTTGATAAGGCGTCCTTACCCTATAACCATTCTAATCCCCTTGTGGGTCAGTCACTTCAGAATCATTCAGTAAAAGATTACATATTTCATTAGTATTCATTTGGTACCAAAGAAATTCTTTAATTTCTATAAACTTGATTCAAGATCATTCTCATATCTAGTAAATTCATCAAATTCACAAAGCCAAATATAGAAAATAAAGTAAAAGAGCAGAAAGAATTCATAAAATAATTTTGGCAGAGTAACGACATATTTACAACTTTTAAAGAAATAACTTTAAAATACCAACTTTCAAAATAACATAGATAAAAGCATAAATAACATAGCTTTCTAAAATATCTAAAAATTAACTTTAAAAGTAAATGAGAGAATGAGTTTCGTACTCCCAATATTACCTTCCTTTTTGTTTTTCTCTTCCTCTTCCTCTTCCTCTCTTTCTTTCTTTCCTTCTCTCTCTCTCTTCTTCTTCTTAAGTTTCTAAATTGGGGGGGGGGGGGGGGTTATATTGTTTTCAAAAAAGAAATGTAATCATTACTTTTTATAAAAATCTAAGGAATCTAATCATTACCTTTATAAATATCTAAGGAATCTTAATCATTACGTTTATAAATATCTAAGATATTTTATATTTTATTTATTATTATTATATTTTTTTTTAAATATTACATTTCCCCTCTCCTAATTAAAAATTTTGTCCTCAAAATTTAGACATACCTCAAAAGAAAAATTATGGGAAACTCTGTCGCAATTCTTCTTCTTTCTCTCATGTAGCCTCTTGTGGTGAAAGTCTTTCCCAACACATTTTAATTAACGGAATTATCCTATTTCTTAATTGCTTTAAATTTTTATCAAGGATTTGAGCAGGTCTGGTCTTAATAGTAAGATTCTCTTTAACTTGTACTGAGTCTATATCAAGAATGTGAGAGGGATCTGGGACATACTTTCTAAGCTGAGAAACATGAAAAACATTGTGGAGATTGGAAAGATGAGGTGGAAGAGCAAGTTGGTAAACAACTGACCCTATTTTTCAGAGTATTTGAAATGAATCAATATACCTAGGACTCAGTTTCCTAACTTTGAGGGTTCTGCTTACACCTGTGGTAGGAGAAAGTTTAAGAAAGACATGTTCCCCTTCTTTAAAAGACAAAGATTTTCGCCTGTTATCAGCATAATTTTTCTGTCTGCTTTGTGCCTTTTCAAGTTTTTCTTTTATCATCTGAATTTGTCTAGAGGTTTCATGGACTAATTCCGGTCCCAATAACTGTTTTTCCCCTTTTTCATACCAACACACTGGAGATCTACACTTTCTTCCATAGAGTGCCTCATATGGAACCATTCCAATACTAGAGTGATAACTATTATTATAAGCAAACTCTATTAATGACAGGTATCTACCCCAACTACCTCTTTGTTCAAGGATGCAAGCTCTCATCATATCCTCCAAAGTTTGAATGGTTCTCTCAGTTTGACCATCAGTTTGAGGATGATATGTTGTACTAAGTCTTAACTTAGTTCCAAAGGCTTGCTGTAAACATCCTTAAAATCTAGAAGTAAATCTAGGATCTCTATCTGACACAATACTTAGAGGTACCCCATGAAGAAAGACAATTTCTTTTATATATAGTTGTGCTAATCTCTCAATGGAATATTGAGCCCTAATTGGTAGAAAATGAGCAGATTTGGTTAATCGATCAATGATTACCCAAATTGCATCGTATCCCTCTTGGGTTATTGGTAAACCCATCACAAAATCAGTGGCTACACTTTCCCACTTTCATTCTGGTATGTCTAATGATTGAAGTAATCCTGAAGGCTTTTGATGTTCAATTTTCACTTTTTGACAAACTAAACATCTTGAAACATACTCAGCAATATCCTTTTTCATTCCTGGCCACCAAAATGTCTTTTTCAAATCTTGATACATTTTGGTGGAACCAGGGTGAACTGTGAACTTACTGTTGTGTGCCTCATTCAAAACTTCTCTCATCATTCTTCCTTTTTAGGTACCACAATTCTTCCTTGAAATTTCATCAAACCATCTTCCCCTTTGGTAAATCCTTCCTGTTTCAAAGACTTTTCTAAACCAGAATCTTCTTGCTGAGCTTTTCTAATTTTATCTATCAGCTCATTGTCTATTTTTATTTCACTAATACCTAAACTTCGAGGCAATACAGTCACAGATAATTTTATATCT